TTCTAACAAAGTATTTTTTTTCAAGTTGCACTGGAGTAAAAGAATCTGTGGAATGCAAGAAGAAATACAGGAGTCCATTCATATTACCACCAGTGATCTCGGCTCAATTGTCAACTATAAACAGATTTTCTTTTAAATACGGTAAAATAGAAGTAAGAGAGTGGGCATATATCCCTATCACAGAGGATAGTTGCCCTAATTTTTTGAGGTATAGGTGCCCTTAGGGGCATCTATCCCACTCCTTATATGGTATAAGCACATACATATTATTATATTTAAAGATTTTAATTTATGTGATATTTTCTATATTTACGTATATTTATATTTGGACATTTTACTGATTTTAGCAGAACCATGCCACGAAAATATAAGAGAAAGGAATGAGTGCAAGTTCCGGTATGTTTTTGCACTACAGAAATCCTACAAAAGAACTATGGGGATAAACGAAATATACCGTCAATTTGGTATTCCATCATGACATTGAGAAGACTATATACTATAAAAATAAAACAAAATTGATGATGGGTATGTATTAAAAATCATGTACGAGTAGGTAGTACAAGATATCATAAACTTTTATTTTAATGATTGCTACCACTATTTTCTAATAGATTTATTAACGTTAGTTATTTGTTTTAGGAAAGCATCCTGTTTTAGATTGTGACAACGAGAAGAGGCTAGTAAAACACATTATTAAACTTGGTTAGGCAGGATTTCCTCCAAATAGGCACGCCATACGCATGTTAGCCTATCAATTTGCTGAAAAACTAAATCTAAAACATAATTTCTACCACGATAATGAAATGGCTGGAGCCGCATGGTTCAAAAGTTTTATTGAACGAAATCCGGAACTATCTATCAGACAAGCTGAAGGTTTATACTGATACTTAATATAGAGACGAATAGTTTATAACAACAATTTAGTATTCCTGTTTTTTGTTGGTTAAATGCTTGTAAAGTTGATTTTACCAAAAAATATGATTATGAATGTTGTAACTTGAATTTATATGTTAATTAAATATAATAATAAAAATATTAAATAAAAACTAAACGTCTTCATTATTATGACCCATATTTCTTGGAGACAATATGCTGCTGTTTTAGGAGTAGAACTTCTTAACATTTGGATTGAGTATTTTGTTTACAGGATATGAAGGGCATCTATCCTGCACTATAGGCATCTATCCTTTTTAGTTTTTTCATGGCGGGGCAACTATCCATATAGATAGGCATCTATCCTCAAAAAAAAAAGTTCCACGAAAGGTGGATTTCTGAGAAATCTGTAATTGATAGATTCAAAAATGATGATAGTTATTCAACATAAGGGATTGAACTAGCTACATTCATAGAATTTATTTGTATTAATAGTCTTAAAGTTAGTCAAATATTTCAAAAAGTGGGGCATCTATCCCGGTTTTACCCTACGTATTTAACCTGCATCCACTTATTAACATCCCTACTAGAGAAATTGAAACATCATCTAGTTGTCTAGACCATATATTTGTAAGACATGAAAAACGAAAGAAATCCAGTCTGCGTGCTATGCTTACGTAATTAAATCAGATAGGACACTATGTAACGGCATTAACGCTATACATAAATAAGAAGGTTTTAAAAATAAAAATAATAGTTATAACAAACACTATAAGGAATTTGTTGATCACAGTAAACTACAAACTGATTTGAGACTATCACTACTTCTATACCATAAAAGATGTTAATGAAGCAAGTTATTTCATGACTGTTGTTTAGAGTAACATAAAAAACAACACAAAAAAGTAAAACCGCCAAGAAAGGATTGGGTAACAAAAGGCATAGTGAAATCAATTAATAATAAAGAGGAGAAGTATAGCAAATCCAACCGATCAATTGAAGCAGGAATATCTAAAGTATAAAAACAACTACTTTGATCAAAAGACTTAGCAGGACAATTTCACTCTACAACTTGTTCAGAATAAAAATAATTCAAAAGTATTGTGAGAAACAGTAGAACAAAATGTGCCTATCCAAAAAACCGAATAATAATATAAGCAAAGTCAATATTGGCGATGAGACATTGGATCCAGAGTTAGACATAGCAAATGCGTATAATGACTTCTTCGCTAATGTAGGAAAAAAAAGTGGTAAATAAAAATCGTAAAAACACTTGCTTATCTCCATTTTGATTGAACCTGTCTCGGAAAGTGAGCTCTCAAACATTACACAAACCTTAAAAAACAAAAGAACCCTGGTTTAGATGGTATGCGGGTTGAGTTAGTGAAACAGGTCGCGCATGGAATTTCTGAAATTTATAAACCTTTCTAAGCTTTTTAATAAACCTAAGTATACAAGTTGAGGTATGTCCAGATATTTTCAAAGTGGGTATAGTAGAACCTATGCACAAGGCAAGCGTATTTTCCGAAATTGTTGGAAAAGTTTTACAATACAGACGCATGCAATTTTTTTAAAAACATAACCTACTTAATAAAAATCAGTTCGGATTCAGAACAAACAGTTCCACACAGATGCAACCTGTTTTCGCACATCTAGATTATATAAACTGCTTGACCAAAGCAAGTTCACATTCAGTGAAGGAAAAACAATATATACTAAGTGACATATAAATCCGAACACCCAGTTTAAATGTTTTTATTTTAATAAAAGTTGGTGAATGTATTTATCTTACTGTAAATAACAAGTGAAAAAATTTTCAGCCTTATCAGTTGGACATTCCGGTTTTTATACTGCTTTTTTTAATTCACTAACGCTCTAAAAATGAATATTTCAGCCGCAGTAAAGAATCAACGTTGGCGGATTTTGGTTCTTGACATCCTTTACGATCGGTTACGATGCCTAGAGTACGGAGACCTGTACGATTTCGTCAACTTAGTGAGTTTGATAGGGGCCGTATAGTGGGACTTCGGGAAGCTGGACTTTCTTTTCGGGCAATTGCCGTTAGAGTGCAAAGAAGTGTAGACACTGTGGTTAGGTGTTGTCAGGCATGGCTTCGAGAAGGCCTTACGCAAAAAGCAAGGGGCACTGGACGCCGCCGTAGAACAACAGACCGTGAAGATCGCCGCCTAAGATTATTGGCCTTGAGGGACCGTTTCTCCACTACCAGGTCCATTGCAAATGAATGGTTTGCAGAACACGGAAGACCTATTGGCATGCGAAGTGTTTACCGACGAATGAGAAGTTTTGGCTTGTTTTCATACCGGCCACACTGGGTCCTCCCTTTAACTCGAGAACACCGACGTAATCGCCTTGAGTGGTGCAGACAACGGTCACTCTGGGATCAGGAATGGAACAGTATTGTCTTTAGTGACGAGTCTCGATTTTGTTTAGGCATGCACGATGGTCGTGCCAGGGTTAGAAGGCGACGTGGTGAAAGGAGGAATCCACAGTTTTTTGTTGAAAGACATGTTCATCACACTGTTGGAGTTATGGTTTGAGGTGCTATAGCTTATGGTTCCAGGTCACCTTAGTCTTCATCAGAGGTAACATGAACGCGCAGCGTTATATCCACGAAGTTCTAGAACCCCATCTTTTACCCTATCTTGACACCCTGGCAGATCCAACTTTCCAACAAGATAATGCCCGACCACATGTTGCAAGAGTCACAATAGACTTCTTTCAACATAATGATGTTACATTGTTAGCATGGCCACCAAGATCTCCCGACTTATCCCCAATAGAGCACGTGTGGAATATGATGGGTAGGAGATTGCTCAATTTGCAACGTCCTCCTCAGACTCTAGAAGCACTTCGAGAGTTGGTGGTCGTCTGGAATGAGATACCACAGGAGGACATTGACCACCTGATCAGAAGCATGCCTAGGCGCGTTGGAGAATGCGTAGCACAACAGGGTGCATCCACACATTATTAAAGGTCAAAGGGCTTTAAAGCAGTGCAATCATTTTGAAATTTTTATCATTTACTTATTATGCTTCATTAAGTACTTATACAAAATTTTATTAAAATAAAACCATTTGAACTGAGTGTTCGGATTTATATGTCACTTAGTATAAATATGCTGTGTACCTCAAGGTACAGTTTTGGGCCCCTTGTTATTTAATTTATATGTGAAAAGTTTACTAGATTTACAAATAGAGCGAGCTGCCGTTTGTTTTTCTGATGACACTGCTATGCTTTATTCACATGCATCATCGTGGTATAACCTTAAATATAAGGTAGAAATGGATTTCGTTATAATTTCTGATTGGTTAAACCGCAAATGCCTCACTATAAGTTACCAAAAAACGATGTTTATGCCGTTTCCAAATGACAAAAGAAGGCTTCCTGATTATACTGCTGTTCATATAAAACAAAATCCAGAAAGTACTCGCAAAATCATTAAAATCGAGTCTACCAACAAAATCAAGTACCTGGGCGCACTTTTGGGTTCATGAAATGGATTCATCATATTGAGCACATTACCTTGAACTTGAGATGTCTGTCATTGAAAATAAAGTATCCAAGTAATTACCTGGTTCAAAAAATCATGAAAACTATTTACCAATCTCTCCTAGAGTCTAGATTGCGATATGGTTTATAGCTTGCGGTGGAGGTATTAGAAAAACAATTTTCAAAAATAATTCATAACAAAAACAGACTTCATCCTTCAGATCAGCTGTACAGAGATGCATAAATTCTTGATCTAGGTCAGTTGTTGTCATTCAGTATATTGATATATCAATTTAAAGACAAACGTACGTTGGTACCGATTTACTTATTCGATTGGAATCAAAATTAATAAAATAAGCAGCACTCCTTTGTCTACTAAACAAACAGGACAAAGCTTGATGAAATAAAAAAATATCTAAGCTATCAAAATATAAAAAAGAAATAAAAAACACTTGCTTGAAAAGGGACAAGAACAATTTCTGTCTCATGTTGGAATTAAAAACAGTTTGTTGTGAATTTTATTACAAATTATATAACATAAATCTTTGACTGATTCAACACTAAGGTTATTATTGTTACTTTTTAATAATTATTCTAACAAAGTATTTTTTTTCAAGTTGCACTGGAGTAAAAGAATCTGTGGAATGCAAGAAGAAATACAGGAGTCCATTCATATTACCACCAGTGATCTCGGCTCAATTGTCAACTATAAACAGATTTTCTTTTAAATACGGTAAAATAGAAGTAAGAGCCAAGTTGCCCAAAGGCCAATGGATTTATCCAGGTAAATATTCTCATAAAGTGATAATATACTGAGTACAAGTGATTCAGGGGTTTGTTTCTGATGAACTGCTTAGAAATGGCGAAATGCCTTTTATTTGAGGGCCTGCAGTATTAGTGGAAATAACGTTTCATAATGAACGTTATTTAATAATAATATATATGATGGTACGAGTAAATTGATTTCAGAGATCCATCTTTTGGCCAAATGAAACCACATATGTACAAATTACTCTTTACTGACGTTTTGACCTGGATGGTGGCCTTTTTCAACGTACAGAGCCACATGAATATGACTATATTCGAAGGTCATTTCTTAAGTAAGAACGGTTAAGTAATAGAGTAGGAGAAATTTTATTTATGATCGCAAATTGTACCACACACAAAAATATGAACAGTTCTCGATTTCAACCTGTCGGCATTTATATGCAGGACGATGAATTACTGAGTGCATTTCACAATCGTCGGGTTTACTGAGTGACATGGCGACAAACAAAGAGGTATAACCACGTAACCAACACCGAGGCAGACGTGAAGCGTAATGGCGGCGGCGTATTGAAATACTGGCCATGAGTGTTTGAGGTTGAACGGACGTCACGTGACAGAATGCGCGGGCACGATGCGCAATAGGATTTAATTTCATGTCTGAGTGATGAAATGTCTGTTGCATTTGAGTGAGTTTACGACTGTCGGTGATATAATTTAACTCATGTGGTTACCAAATTATTTATTTGAACAATTTTTTTACAGAATTATATCTAACACCCTCAAGCGATGCATATGGAACCAAGCATGATTGTAGCATTAGGATTGCTTTTACTGACGGTCAGAATATGCGTGACTTGAAAGGGGGTCCTATAGTGAAGTCTAGCACAACGAATAAGATGTTTAGTCCAAAAGAAACCAGTTCTAATCAAGACTGGTGTGATAACTTCCACATATTTGGAGTAGAGTGGACCCCAGGTGAGCCAAAATTCTTATGTAGCATTTTTGCGATAATACAGAAATAAGCTGCCAAATATTCAAAAAAGTACGAAATATGTTTTTTAGTAGTATTCAAGATGTTAATCCAGACGTCTTCTTTTTTGTGATGACTCAAGGATTCCGATACTATGAAAAAGTGTAGACTAGAAAATTGAAGTGATGAGATATTCTTTTTTAGAAAAAATATGTATGTACGTAGACAGAGAAGAATACGGTGTGGTTTATCCCCCTGAACAGGGTTTCCTCAGTTTGATCGGTAGGTCAAGTTCGAGTTCATCTAGAATGGCTCCATTTGATCAGAAGGTTAGTGAAACATGTTCAACTTTTATCATTGACTAACATATTCTAAATGAAGATAGCTAACCTACTGCGCGCCCGAAAAGCTATCAGCCGAGATAAAATGAGATACAGTAGCGTCATCAATGACAATTTGTCACAGCTGTGTTTCTCTGTGATTCAGATCTAGCAAGGTAATATTTGCATCAAGACACAGCAATAGACGGAGATATTTTAGAGGGTGATCCTTGTTAAAAAATATGACAAAAAGTTTCTATAAGCATGGGCCCGAAAATGCAGATTTTTCAAGGTAGAGGGTGATACATTTTTTAACAATATCTTAAAAAAATATTTACTTGATTCTGAAATTACTTTTTGTATTACGAGGCTAATTTAGCCCTAAGTAGATTAAAATTATTAAGTCCAGTAGCATCCCGAGGGCACCATATTATTGGCAGAAAAATGTACGCCACTGCCTTTTTTGTAACTTTAATATTTAATGTTTTATTAAGCTTCCAAAAATACAACATCCATGCCAACTGTATTTTTTTCGTATCTCACTTCATTTTCGAGAAAAAAAATTAAAACCGTTTTCTTGCATGTCAGTGGACAAAACTGGCTTATTAATTGTTGCTAAAAGAATCACAAGTGCCTTGGAAAACAAAAAACCATTCCTGCATGGAGGATTGAGATTTACGCGTCAGTTCTTTTAGAAAAGAATCATGTTCTTTGCGAAATTTCTCCAAAAAGTTTCTGTTTCGGTGTTTGCGATGGAGAATTACACTTTTGAGGAAATGTGTAACTGTTATGCAGCGAGGTGTCTGTATGTAGAAGCGTTTCCCCGTCGGCAACTTCCATACAATTTGTAACAGTAAACATCTCTTTCAAATTTATTACCATGTACCTGAAAACTGTATGTGTATTTCCGAACACATGTTTATGGAAACTTTTTCCCATATTTTTTTAACAAGGTATCACCCTCTAAAATATCTCCGTCTGTTTTTCGAACACCCAGAATGCTATTTTTTGAAAAAAATGGCAGACTTTGGCGTCTAGGGCCTACTTCTATATAGAAAAAGCATAGTACTGTATCTCATTCCCACTTGATTTTACGTTTGCATTGCTATTTTTCGTACTCAATCCTAGATTCTTGTTGTATTGGTTCTTTTTTACACAAACTATCGTCAACAAATTTCCAATGAAAGTAACATTCATTTAATACCGATTTACTTGTTATATCTGTTACGACTGTCATTTAAACGTAAATACAAATATGTATACATATTTAAGTGGTTAAATACGCCTTGAAGGTTAAAGTGTATTTGGTAGATTGCTCATGACTCAATTATCTGTTGTGAATGGCGTTTTTAAAGCACCTATTGTACATTTTACTTCCTGTCGGCGTTAGACACCGCCAGGTCGCAAAAATATGATTTTTGATTACAGTTATATCATCTTTCAGATGTATATAACAGTAGGAGTTGGTGTGGGAGGACTAGTGTATCCTGATGCGTCGAACTACCCTTTAAAACCTTGGATAAATGGTGAAACACAAAGCGTCAAGAAATTTTACAATGCAAAGGATCATTGGTTAAAGACTTGGAGTGACAAATCTGTACTTGAAGTTGATTACATTAAAGTTTGGGCGTTATGAAAAAAAAACTGTCAGTAACACAATAATCAAATCCAAGCGAATAACCAAAATTTCTGTGTTATGTGCCGCGGTTATAATATGGTTCAAGATGACACACGGGTTGATGACGTCAGTTACACGAATCGCTTGAACGCGTTGGTTTTACCCACGGTTTTGTTGCAAGTTGTTTATTTTAGAAAAGCGCGTATATAATCTCTGATTATTTTTATTATCACTTAATAATCGATGCTTTTTCGTCTAAAACTGTATATGGAAAGTTTAAATAAGGAACCTTTCATAATATTCATGGGAGAAATGTTTTTTTCAGATTTTTTTTTAATGATGGAACCATGGCTTTGTAGCTATGATAACTTTCAATTCTCTAAAATTTTCCGCATGTCAAAGAAAACATTTATTGATTCAGCAGAAATGATGAAAAAAGAAATTAGCAAAACCGTATACAGGTGGATATCATCTAGTGAGTTTATATGGCCATATTTTAATATTCTTGTGGTATATGGCTACACAGGATACTTTGTTAAGCATAGGAACTACATTTAAAGTGTCCCCAACAACCGTAATGAGTATAACTAATAAGATGCTCCACTTTATGGTAAAACTGAAGTCAGCCTGTATCATTTTTCTCAAAAATGAAGCTGAAGTACAATAACAATATCCAATACCCGGCAAAATTCTAACTTGCCACATTTCAAATAATAACCAGAAATACAGGGTGGCCCATAAGTCCTTTGAGCTGGAAAAAAAGGAATAAAACCAAACTAGTTACATTATGAAGAATTATTATATTTTGTTATCATCTTTATTGAATGGGAATTATGTTTTAAAAATCACATCGTCTAAATGCAATCCATTACGATCACGGCACTCATATAAACGACGTCTAAAATTGTCGATGACTGCGCGGCAAGTCAACACTGTAATGCTTGCCATTTCTCTTCGGATATTTTCTTTCAGGACATCAACTGATCGCGGAGTGGTGTCGTACACTTTACTCTTGAGGTAGCCCCATAAAAAGAAGTCCATTGGGGTCAAATCTGGACTACGTGGTGGCCAGGAAATGTCTCCTCTTCGAGAAATTACTTTGCTGGGAAAAAGTTGACAGACGACGGGCATAGAAGTGTTGGAGGTGTGGGCAGTTGCTCCGTCCTGTTGAAACCAGGTCTGCGTATTATAGCCTGGAAAATTCTGCAACGCTGGTGTCAAAAACTCTTCTATCATTGCTACATACCGCTCCGAAGTAACAGTTAATGCGCGACCTCTGTCAACCTCAAAAAAATAAGGGCCTACGATGCCATGCGCTGACATAGCAGCCCAAACTGTAACTTTAGGACTGTGTAAGGGCTTCTGATGCTTACGCCTTGGATTTTCGGGGCTCCAATAACGGCAATTTTGTTTATTTACATGCCCGTTTAAATGGAAGTGAGCCTCGTCCGAGAACAATATATTATTGAGCGAAGAAAATCGATTCAACATTTCATTCGCAAAGTTTAGTCTCTGAATAGCGTCATTATCTTTTAATTCCTGCACTAACTGAATTTTGTAAGCGTGCAGACGTAAATCTTTCCTTAAAATCCGCTGTAAATATGTTCTGGGTACGTTTAGTGCACTGGAACGCTTACGAGTAGACTGGGTAGGATTTTGACGAACAGACTGTGCCACAATGTTGATGTTTTCTTCAATACGAGTTGTCCTTGGTCGACCCCACCGCTGTTTATCTAACGTCGAACCAGTCTCTTCGAACTTAGCAACCCAGTTCTTAATCGTTTGAGCTGTTGGACACTTTGTAAAATTGTGTAAATTGTGGTATTCTCGATATTTACGCCGCGCAATGGTTGCCGAATCATTATTTTGATAAAACGCGCGCACACAAAAAGCGCGATCCGCTCCAGTGAAACACTCCATGGCGACTGAATTCCCAGACACTGAAGATACTGCCCCCACCTCGCCCGCGCCGCTCACGCTCACCCGTTAAATTTTATTCAAATTTGAAATTTCAAAGGACTTATGGACCACCCTGTATAAAACTACTCTTGAGTTGGGTAAATACCACAATTTTGCGGTGATAACTATGACATATAACAGCTGATTCGTGACGTCACGGATCTTATGACCAAACTGATAACTACACTCGCTTGAACGGATTGGTAAATACCAACCCAAAATGGTAAATACTATTTCCATTTGGTTATCCGCTTGAATTTGATTTATATTTCCTATACGGCATTTTTCGTACCGCTATGTCATTATGGATTCGATGATAAACTACTTTGTCGGATCTTATAACCAGCGGCTGGACTGCTACTGCTAGGGTGTTCATGATTGCGACATTGAAACATTGTCATACTTGTGATGGTTGGTCACTATGCTGCCACTTTGTTGAAAAAAGGTGGTCAATAACGGAGAAAAAGGTCAGTATTTTCAAGCAACTCGTACAATTTCTTTGGCATCTGTCGTTTTGTCGAACGGTGAAAAAATCTCGAGAGCGTCATTCGTGGTCGCATGGTCTTAGCTTCGCGAGATTTTGCTGAATGAAAAATGTCGTTTACGGGATTCAAGGAGGCACTTTATAAGCTTGGTACGACATTTTAGCCACCTCTCATGCGGCATTGGCCGATCGACATCAGAGAACACCCCCCTAGGCAGGTACTGGATCTATAGAATGTCAAAACAAGTGTCAATATGACGCAGGTTGTCGGATTCACACTACTACTTCCCTTACACCAACCAGAGCAATTCGGCGTCCCAGCAGACCGAGATGTGAACATTTGTAATTTATGTTTGTCAACATACATACTGTATCACTTACAGCGCTAAGAGCTTGAAGCGAACTACGCTGAAAGCGTCACCCATATGACATAAGTGCAAAACGAAAGGGGTAACGATCTACATGGTTATTACGTGAATACAACCTAAAGGGTGTTCAGATAAGGACGCTCGAAAGTTAAAATGGAAAAAAAAGGAAAAAAATTTAAGTCAGCACTAAAAGTCTATATTGATCGTAAATAGCATTCGACGACATTATGTATGGAAGATTATATCGTTTAAATGGCCACCGCGACTGCGCAGTACAGCGTGCATTCGCATGGTCCAATTTTCGAGCACTTTTCCGCACATTTCAGCGTCTACCTGTCCGAGGACGCTAATGATGTTGGCCCTTAATGCTGCAATTGTTTGTGGCTTATCCGCATACACTTGAGACTTCACGTAGCCCCACAGGAAAAAGTCTAAAGGCGTTATATCGCACGATCTTGGTGGCCAGTGCACATCGCCGCCGCGCGAAATAATGAAACCGTTGAACTTTTAATGCAGTAAATCCAGCGTTGCGCGTGCGGTGTGGCACGTAGCGCCGTCCTGCTGGAACCAGATGTCTGTTAGATCCATATCGTCCAGTTGAGGCCACAGGAAATCATTAATCATGGCGCGATACCGATCTCCATTGACCGTAAGCGCGTTGCCCATAGCGTCCTCAAAAAAATATGGACCGATTACGCCGCCAGCCCAGAAACCGCACCATACAGTCACTTTAGCAGGATGCATAGCAATTGAGCAAGTCACTTCAGGATTTTGGTCAGCCCATATATGGCAATTCTGTTTATTGACATACCCATTCATCCAGAAATGCGCCTCGTCGCTGAAGATGACTTTTCGTGCAAATGCAGGGTCGACTTGCAACTGCTCTAGAGCCCATGCGGCAAATGTACGGCGCTGTCCATGGACTTGCGGTTTCAATTCTTGCGTCAATTGAATTTTGTACGCGTGCAATTTCAAGTCTCGACGCATAATTGTCCATGTTGAGGTCTTTGGAAGGGCAAGTTCTTGTGCACGTCGCCGCAATGACTGATTCGGGTCTTGACGCACGCTCTCTCGCACAGCAGCAATATTCTCGATTGTTCTTACTGTTCGTTGCCGTACGGGTGTTGTTTGGTCTGCCACTGAGCCAGTTCTCTCAAATTTATTGAGCAGACGTCGAATAGTGGACTCAGCAGGACGGCCATGCGCACCATAAATTGGACGCAATGCGCGGAACGTTTCACGAACCGAACATCTGTTTTGATGATAAATTTTCACAATTTCCACGCGTTGTTGAATCGTGTACTGCTCCATGATTAAATGTCAAGACTAACTTAATAACCTCACAAAATTTGACAGCTGTATCCCCACCGGTTTGGGCGCGCGCGCCGTTCAAACATCGAGCGTCCCTATCTGAACACCCTTTATAAAACGTCAAAAAAAAAACGACCAAATATCAACTTGTTGCCTAGATAGTGTAAATAGTTCATTCCGCGTTTGCTCGCTATGAGCGCTGTAAGCGTCATCAAAAGCGTCCATCTATGGAGGGATGACTCGACGACACGATACGCTGAATGACCATGCTGCAAGCTGCAAGTCAGTCCTCCAGCATGCTTTACTGGTTGCAGAAGACCCAGAAAGTCTGTAGAGAATACTCTGAGAACATGCGTGGTTGAGTGGCAGAGTAGCAAGGCCACATCTGGAGGATTGTCTGTATTTGTCTGCATGTGTATAAAATTAGTGATACTTGCTATGTGAGAAGATTATTACTGAATATGCTGCCCATGAAATATATCTATGCCAGACGGGTTATTTGGGTTGTTCTTTCTGAAGATAGGTTATGTACAATGTTGACGCATTACATACAAAGCACTTTCGAACTGATTCACATCTAGGCGCTGATTTGTATCTTTCATTTGAAATCGTAAAATAAATTTCTATAAAATTTAAATGACTCGGAATAAAAATTGATGTGAAACATTTAAGTTTCAGAAATTTTCGTGTATGATCCATATTTTTTTATATATTTCACCGACCAGGGATTTTCTTGTATTACAATTCCATGTTGAATAAGAAAAGGCGGATCCATAACTGATGTTTAGCTTCGCATACATCTCAAGTAAGTGTATTTGAGACAAGAAACCAATGGAATTATCATCGACACAGATTATTACTACACAAATCCTCTCAATGCACGTATGCATTGCCGTTCATCAGAGCCAAACATTGGTAGCTGAAGCATCATGACGTTTAGGCAACACGTACAGCTACTGAACGAATGAACTACAAATGTACAACAGCTAGTGCTAAGTTGACATCTTGTGGACAAAACCTACATCATATCACAAAAAACCTATACAATGTCAATAAAAATTCGACATGATGTCATCTTTCAAGATAGGGTAAGTCGAGGAAAGATGGCCATAGAGGACAGACGGCCCAGTCTTTTTATTTCGCTCGGCTTTCTGATAGGTGGCGCACATTGTACATTACTGTAGTCAGCTGCATCGTATGGGTCGGTTGTGGTGGCGTTGTGGGCAAAAACAAGATAAAAACGTAAGTAAAAGGATAATATAAAATAAGCATTATGCAAAAATTTTGTGTTATGTTAATTAAACTGTAATTCTGACGGAAATACCGCGTATACATTTTTATCCACGGTCGCGTGGATTTTAGTAAACACGGTGGCCATCTATCCTATACGATAAGGCTTAAACATAATAATGATATAAAAGGGAAGCTGGGCCCTGATTCTTTGTTGGGTACTTCCAATGAGATGAGGTTGGTTAGACATATCAAAAATATGAAGAAAAGCGGATTTGCGTTAACCAGACAAGATGTGCGCAGGCTTGCTTACGAATTCACCAATCAATTGGGATTTAGGCACAAATTTAACCGTAACACCGAAATTGCTGGACACGTCTGGCTACAATCATTTCTGAGGCGAAACCCCACAATTACTATTAGGAAATCCGAAGGTCCTTCTCTACCAAGAGGAAAATCAGTTATTTGACAAACCGATGAATATATTTAATATGGATGAATCAGGTCTACAGCTGAACAATCGCCCCGATAGAATTTTAGCTGAAAAAGGTTCAAAAAGTATTTCCGCCATCACCTCTTCTGAGAAGGTAGAAACCATTACCTTATTAGCCTGCTGCAATGCGGAAGGCACATTCTTGCCTCCAGCAGTCATTATGGAGGGTAAGAATATAAAAAAAGAATTTGAAGACCACTTACCCCCTGGGAGTAAGCTCTTTATGTCACCGAAGTCAGGATACATGAATTCACAAGTTTGTCTGTCTTGGTTGAAGGAACACTTTACTCCCAGAAAACCAGAAGGAAAGACACTTCTATTACTAGATGGGCATACATCTCATTCTACCTCTGTTGCTGGAGTATGCGAAAGAAAATGACATAATTTTGCTATGTTTTCCTAGTCATTGCACCCATTTCTTACAGCCATTAGATAGGGCTGTATTCAAGTCTGTTAAAAATGCGTTTTATTCAAACTGCAGACTTTGATTGAAGCGTCATCCTGGCAGGCGTATAACACGATACCAGTTTGGAGAATTATTATCTGACACCTAGGGAAAATCTGCAACTATTAATAATGCTGTTAGTGCTTTCAGAAGTACCGGTATCTCCACACATAATCCAGATGCCATACCGGACTACACTTTTGCTATAGCGGATGTTCAAATTGAAACATCAGACGTGGCAGTTCAAATTGGAACTCAAAACTCATCCGACGCTCTAAATAAAACCTTACAAAATATTGGTGATGACCAAGTTGATGAGCCAGCTTTGATAAATGAAGACAACGATAATAGTTCAACCGCTATTAAAAACCTTGCCGAGAATAACATTCAACCAGAAGGGACTTGTCAAAATCTGGAAACAGAAGTAACCCCTATCAGTAAAATGCTGGCAGATATATCGCCCGTCCCTGAATTGAGGGTTGAAGCTGCAAAAGGACGGTCTATATCAGTTGCTTCAGAGTTGACTTGTACATCAAACATTGAGTCCTGTCGGGAGAAGTTCAAAAAGAGAAAAGTAGGAAAAGGCGAGGAACAAAAAGAAACCAAGAAAAAATAAACTGATGATAAACCTAAAGTCAGTAGAACCAAGGAAAGAAAGATTAACATCTGTTTTACAGAGTTTGACGAAGAACCCCTCCCTAATCTTTTGAGAATAGAAAACAAAAAAAGAGAAAAAAAACAACCTGAATGACAAAGACATCGACGTTGTGGACATCTGCTTAGTCTGCCAGGAATTTGGTGAAACTTGGTATAGGTGCATGGGATCACAAATTATGCAGCGGGCAAATTTTATTTGTGATTTGTGTTCTTCTAATATTGCAAAGTAAACTGCTCTTAGTTTGTAAAAAACAGGCATGCGGCATTTTGGGTGGGTTCCCATTTTATTTTTTTATCGTTTATGTAAGAATAAAGTGTTCTATGCGTCTAATATGACCTAAGTATTTTATTTTCCTGCGAAAAAATAAATTAAATCTACGTGGCCATCTCACCTTAACGGTATGGTTATCTCTCCTACAGACTGTAGGAGAGATAACCAAATGCCACTTTTTATGACATGAGAATTATTGAAATAACTATTCTGCTGCTCGCATTGAATTTTAAAGGTGATTTCAAAGGTGACCTACACCTGAAGGAGTTATTCTATACCAAATTTCAAGTTTGTACTTTCCATCTATCAAACAATATAACCAATAATAAAAAGTATGGCCTCCATTCCTCGACTTACCCTACGTAATACCTCTGCTGATATCCACAATTGATACTTCAGAGCTAGCTATCATTCACTTCATACCATATTCACCTGTAGCAGCTGTGTGTGTTGCTTAAACGGATATTTGCGCCATTGGCTGTGACTCTGATGTGATGTAACATCTGCTTCAGAGATGACACTAGCGGAGACCGCTCAAAGCTTCTACAGCCTTAGATGTAAGTTCTATACGTCGTTGTGCCGCTGCTCCACAGGTAGCGCTCACACCAAGAACGCTAGCGACTTGCTAGTAAACAAGTGACGAGTATGACGATCTGATCGCTATCATAGCGATTATTTTGCATAATACGCGCCTGGTTGAAACACACTGAAGTCAATGTCACTTGCATTTTTCCATATTTTCATTTATAATGTGATAATGTATTTGTACGTTACTACCGCTGCAAGCAATCATTGTACAGTATAGGAGCAATAGGCAACCATAAAAAACAACTAATTTTGGAACATAGTTTTGGATTAAATTCTTAGTATCTTGAAAAAGTACATATATGAACACATAACAATGTAAACTAATTATTTATTTGACTTTTGTTATAGTCTCTTGATTTTTCAGTCCATAATGTTCGCTCCTCGACGAGTCCTCATCCGCCTTGCACAACGCACAATTTTTCGACTTCAACTGCGTGTACAGCGCCACCCTTTCTCTAGATAACAACACCTTCTCCTCAGCTATTTTCTTTTCCCTACTGCTCAGTAAGGCCATTTGGTTTTGTAGTTCTTGTAATCTCTCCTTATAAAGAATCTCCATCCTCTTCGCTTCCATCAATATCTTTTTGTCTTCTTTCAACTTTGTCTGTGCATCTTGCATCAGGAATTCTAGCTCCACTTCTTTCTCTTCGATTTCCCTCTCTCGCTCTAATAGGTCCCGCTTCAAAGTGTCAAGTTCGTTTCTCTGTCTTTGCAGCTGAGCTCTTTCGTTGTTTACTCTATCTGTCAGCTCCTTTGCTGTTTGTATTGCTGATTCTGCCTCTGCTTTCATTCTTTCTATCTCGTAGGTGTTTGTCAGTTTGCACGATGTTTCAAATCTAGATCGGTCTTTTTGCAGTTGTAGTTTCTCCTCTGTCAGTTGCATCATGGATTTTTCTTGATCGGCTAATAAAGATTCCTTCAAAGTCTGAAAAAATCGAAAAATGTAAGTCAAGTAGAATCCGTACGATTTTAAGCAATCAAACCTTCTAGACTGATAAAACGCAATGCTTTTGCGGCAATAGCTGTAAAATCAAACACGACAGCACAAGTGCCATCTATTACCAGAATCGGTATTTGTGTGAGTGAATACCAGCTATTTGTTTAGAGTGTAATTTCTGTGTCCACTGGCACAATAAACGAAAGCAGAGCAGAGTATCCTCTGCCGGGGGCCACAGAGTACTACCAGATGCGTCAGCTTGTCCTAAATCAAGTTCTATGTTGAGTTCTGTCAACGACAACTTGAGTTCTACGCGTTTGTTAGGATCTCCGTTGCTGTCAACTGTGACACTTAGGGATAATCCATTTTCTCACTTCTACTGTTGTTGATGGCTATGTTGAATACAGGGTGGCCAATATATATAACTGACTGATTTATATTGCGCGCCATTTTTGATACACGCATTTCGTAGAAGTTGTTTAAAGCACATGTGTCCAGTTCATCATGGATCGATACACGATCCCACAACGCGACCGTATTGTTAAAGCGTTTTACTTGAATAATGAGTCGATTATTGCAACGATTCGGAAGCTACGGCAAAATTTCGGTCGAAATAATGTACCCAGTGCCAGCACCATTCGTCAGTTGATGCGGAAATTTGAACAAACAGGTGAAGTTAAAGACTTGCTAAGGTCGGGTCGTGTTCGAACTGCTCGTACTCGAAAACATCGAGAGAGTTCGTGAAAGTGTAGTGGAGTGCCCTGAGATGTCTACCAGACATCGTTCTCAAGAACAGTTTGGTGCGGTGTTTGGTATGGAGGTGTCGTTGGACCTTGGTTCTTTGAGGACGCTGCAGGTAATTCTCTTACTGTCACTGGCGAGCGCTACCGTGATATGGTGCAAAACTTTCTGCTCAAGTTTACGCGGCTTTTAGAGGCGGACATTTGTCTGATATTTTTCAAACATAACTTCTAAGTTTCAATAAAAGATTAATATGAAAAAATGGACATATTTTATTCCATTTCACAAATGTTTTAGATACAAACCAGTCAGTTACATATCGGCCACACAGTATAAAGGGATCTCCAAAAATTATGTTGCCTAAATGCATGTGGGTAAATGATAGAACTTTTGATTCTGCAGTTTAACATATGACATTCATGACGTCAGACTAATGAAGCGTAACCGACCGTGGGTAAAATTTCTCGGGACGCCCATTCAATCAGGTAGGGAACACGCCATACAGCTGTCGCATCTGTATAATATGTCCTGGATGCTTAGGCATATCCATATATGACGTTCGTGGTCCTTGCTAGACCATTGGCGTTCTGCTTTGATCGGACGGATGAAAGCAGCATTATTAGTTTTCATTGGCAAGCTAAACCCATTTACTATGTCGCCAAAATCGACGGCATCAGGCATCACCGTTTTCTATAAGTACATATCGTCGGCTTAATATGCAAAGCACACAAGTCCCATACCACTGATTTTAGAGGAGATGGAAAAAACTATCCCATTGTCTGAAGTGTTTATATTTTATATCTATGATGATCAAAGCAAATTAGTCCGAACGATAAAATCACATAACTCCGTAGTTTCCGTTTACAAGACAATTAGTCACTATCCAACATCTAATTTAATATAATCCTGATTCAACATGGTACTGTTACCTTATTCTACTGAATCAGAGTTTTACTCCATGCTAAACATGCACAAGTATCAAATACTACCGCCAACAACAGACTGCATACCAAAACACTGAACTTTTAAACTTGTATGGACTCGTGTGATGTTATTGTCGGTCAGAGCAAGGGCAAGTGTTATGTGGAATTCTTGACGCCGAACATGTCGTTTACGCATTTTTTGCGAGTTATGAGGAATTCTTCGGACATGCGCGACACATAGTATCAAATAAAGATTCCAATATCTCATTTTCTTCAAAAAGTGGACTTATGTGATTTGCATATTAAGCTGACGGCTTGCATTGCTTAATACTGTCAGAAATGTCATATTTGCTTATCACTTCGAACGTGTTCTTGGGACCATGAATAGATAATCTATCCTAATGGGCTACAAAATAGTTGTAGTCACCGTTCTTGGCGGGTCAAAGTAAGACTACCACTATCCCTTTATATATTTCCATCTCCCTCATACATAAACATGCAACCTACCCCTGTGTGTGAACGTTTGGTCAGTAAGCTCAAAGACATACGTTTTTTAGTTGTGTGTCTCCATCTCGAAAACTTTGTCGTTACGCATGGATGCCCTTCAATCATATTTAACAATGTGACAACTTGACATCGACGTGCAATTTAAGGTGTCCTGTTATCAGTCTTCAATATAAAATTGCACAATGACCGGAAATACAATCAATGGGGAAGGTCGACAGCTCGTTTTAAATTTTAGAGTATGTCCAGGAAGAGAATGAAAACAGCGGTGTCCTTAATGCGCACTGGAGAGAGTAGCAGATGCGCTGAAGATTAAAATCCCCCCATGGTATGGAGACTCGAACTGTTTACTTATTTCATAAGGCGTTGATAACGTTACCGCCAAGAACAGTGACTACAACTATATTTTGTAACACACTAGCTTTACCCTGCGCACGTTGCTACGCCACCAACTTTCGTTCCAATTCAAATCAGCATGAATTGTTATGGCAATATATGAAATTCATTGGAATGACAGTGGCGCTAACTGTCGAAAATTGGTCGTACCTACTCAGAAACCTTTGTGGGCTCATGCACAAGAACTTTGCTAAAGATCATCATATGATTAAATGCATAGTCTACGATTCTACAAAGCACATACAGACAAACATTCAGTTTTATATATATATATATAGATTGGATTATTGGGAATGTTGTAAAAGTTTTACAGGACTTTTTTCAGAATCAACTTCGTTTGAAATTATAAAACAAAAGTGCGGTGAAACAGCAACAAAAGAATTAAATACAAATCAAGATAACTTCTATTTGGTCATTTGATAAAAGAATTTCACACAAGAATAATCAAGGTTGTCGCAGAGCGATGCAAATGTGTTACCACCTCAAGGTTGCTACAAGCTCTTTTGTAACAAATGAGCAAACCTAGCACAAGCAAAACAATCAGCATAAGCTAATGTCAGAGTTCGTTATTGCAATAAGTATGTGCTAACCTCGTTTTTTAAAGCCGATTTCAAGATAATCAGTTCGTTTTACCCATATGTACGTTGTATCTTTTAACCTAGTCTTAGCCTGGAGACAGTGAGGATTGGATATCGCGGTTTATTTCGGAGCTTTATAACTCATTTTATGACTTTAGAGCATGCGTTATGCAATTATCTTTACACAAACCCTACGTTGTTTCAATATTGGTTCCAACTTTAAGAAGGCCGTGTATTTGATATTAATATAGCACCTTCAGCTGTTCTCTTTCCCTCTCCATAATAGTCCTGTTATATTCAGCCTCCCTTTCAATGGCAGCTGCTCTAGCTGTCAACGTAGCAGAAGCTTGTTGAAGAACCCATCTGTCTTCGGAAGCATTGGCCCTTTGTTCAGCCAATTTCAGTTCCAGGTTTCTCACAAGTGCCATCATCTGAGATCTCTCCTTTTCCGTTGATTCTCTACTCTTCTCCAAAGCGTTCCTCATAACTACAATCAGATGAAGGCTCATTTGGTAAAGTCTGTAACTGAGCAACGTGTTAGACAAGTTGAGTATATCTATCAGCGTGTCTACTGTTTGGACAATAATAATATGTTGGTAGTCATGATCGCGATAGCAGGCATTTTTCTTAGGAGGAACAGACCATCGGCAAGAGACAACTTTTTGTGACAGTGTACCGGCCCCAAACACTTTTTGAAAATCGAGGGGTAGAGAACTTTCAAATACTAAAAATCCTCAAAATTTATGCTGAATATGCAAAACCTAAGGTCCGGCCTGATTTCCAGGGGAGGCCACCTCCCCCTGGGCTCTCTCTGCAGACGCCCATGGTAATTATACTTTAGGTCCAGTCCGAACACATCACTTTGTTTATTTACTTTGTAGTCCGGCCCTGGAGTACTAGCCGCACACCAAGTTAAAAGACGCGCTCCGGTCTTGCACGTTGAGTCATTCGGTTTTTGGTGTTACAGCCGTACGGTCGCCCGGCTTGTTTGTGCGTTAGGAAACACGTAAAATACGCGATTCCTTTTCAAATCGGTTTAGTGCTTGGTGAGTAGGTTGGTAAGTATGTACAACAATGGGTTGTTTTGTTGCTCATCTAGAGTAGCACGTTATATATAATATAAGATATACTTAGCAGAAAACCATGGAAGAAAAACCTGGCGGCAGGGACGGGGATTTGGAGGTTAACTCTCCCAGTTCCTTGAGGAGTCTTATCAGGGAAATTTTACACCAGGAACTTGAGGGTAGAAGCAGCAGGTCGAGGTCTCGTGCCGATTCGCCCCATTACTTTAGGCGTTCTCGTTCTCGGCTGAGCCGTAGACGTTCAAGGTCCAGGGATGTTCCGACATGCACAATTGTGCATATTATGCACAATTTTACCAACATATGCACAACATGCACCCCCCACACAAAATATGCACAATCGCCAATAAATAAAGTGCATTTTTTATACAAAACTGGAAATACATTTTCTTAACAGCTTCACGAACATTAAAAAGGTTCCACGTCAATGGTTCCATGAAATTTCAGTTTTTTTAAATTGGCGGCTGCGCCAGAAAATTAGTATACATATATCATATATGCACATTTTTAAAGAAATATGCACAATTTTTATTGACATCTTTGCACAATTCAAAATCTTGGTTAAAAATAATTTTTCCCCTACAGAAACATCGCTAGTAAGATTAGCTATAAACGATTTGTTAAGGTCCAGAGCCATACTCAAATCTGAGTCAAGGCCCGAACAATTTATCTCTCCATGTTTCCTAGCAGATAAATCTAGCGGTGGAAAAAGGTTTATTTTAAATCTAAAACAATTAAATGAATATGTGGAATGTCCGCATTTTAAAATGGAGGACCTACGAACGGCTATTAAAGTGACTCACAAAAACGTGTATATGTGCACAATTGACTTGAAAGACGCATACTTTTTGGTATGTTCACAATGACCATCAACCATGCCTTAAATTTCAATTTGAAGGTCAATTGTACCAATTTACCTACTTACCGTTCGGGTTATGTACAGCTCCGTTATGCTTCACAAAACTCATGAAGCCAGTCGTTTCTATTCTCCGCACTTTAGGCATCTCTACAGTCAATTACCTAGACGATTTCCTAATATTCGAAGATTCATATGAATCCTGTCTCAAACATGTCAACACAACCATTTGTCTTTTAAAATCGTTAGGTCTTATAATCAATAAAAACAAAAGCATCCTAGTACCTACCACTTACATAAAATTTCAAGGCTTTATGATAGTGTCCATTTAAAAATAGAACTTCCTGACGAAAAGAAGCCTAGCCCTGAAAGCATAAAGCCAGATACTTTTGGTGGACAAATCATATTTCAAAAGCCTTCAATGACATCAGGTATGATTCCTTTCATATAACAATTTTTACCGACGCATCACTTACAGGATGGGGTGCTGGTTGTGGCCATGACAGAACCCATGGATTCTGGTCTGACTCTCAAAAACGGTTACATATAAATAATTTGGAGTTATGGGCTATTTTGTACGGGATTCAGTGCTATGCCAAAAAATTGAAAAACTGCAATATTCTAATTAGTTGTGACAGCACGACAGCTGTTTCATACATCAACAGAATGGGGAGTGTTCAATTCCCAGACCTCTGTTCGTTGTCAAAACAAATTTGGCAATGGTGTGAGCAAAGGAACCTCTGGCTCTTCGCTTCATACATTCCTTCGAAGGATAATGTTATAGCAGGCACCGAGTCCAGGTGTTCGAATTTGGAAACGGAATGGTCATTATGTCAAACCGCCTTCGACCGTTTAACCACCGTTTTCGGAAACCTAGACATTGATCCTTTTGCTTCCCATACAAATGCTAAATGCAAGTTATATGTATCCTGGCATAGAGATCCAGGATCTGCATATATTGACGCGTGTACGATTCCCTGGAATCGATTTTATTTTTACGCATTTCCACATTACAACAATATAACGGTTCGTATAAATTATGGTGGGGTTATTGCTTCAGTAATGACATTTCGCTTTTTAATACCACAATCAAAGAAGTGGTGTCATTCTTGCAAGAATTGACAAATAATCAAAACCTTACATATGGTACTTTTAACTCGCATACATCTGCCCTTTCATTAATTTGCTCAAAGGATTTAGCCTCTAATCCGATAATTAAACGCTTCGAAAAAGGCGTCTCTCGCTTACGGCGTTCACGACCAAAGTATACTGCCACCTGGGACCCTATACCCCTTCTAAATTATTTAGAGAAGTTATCATCACCGCTTAGTCTTCAAACTCTGTCACAGAAATTAACGACGTTATTAGCCCTGATAACAGGAGAAAAACTCCAGACGATATCCTTATACGTCTCTCAAGTATAATCCATGGTCACAGTGAATCAACTATTAATATATCGGATCCAATTAAAACCAGTAGAGTCGGAAAACCTCAACCCACTCTGCACATCCCGATTTTTCAACAAAACCCCTTTCTTTGCGTGGCCACAATCCTGAAAGAATACATTGACAGAACAGCTTCTTTAAGAGAACCCAATAACGATTTCCTATTTGTGACAGGGAAAAACCGCATGGCAGGGCGTCTAAAGACACTTTAAGCAGATGGGTAAAACAGACCCTTGCCTCTGCAGGAGTAGACACAACACTTTTTACGCCTCATTCAGTAAGGCATGCGGCGACTTCTGAGGCGTTAAGAAAAGGCGTTTCCGTAGATAACATATGAAAACAGTTGGTTGGACGCAACGTTCCACGTTTGCAAGATTTTATAATCGTCCTCTACAACCAAACAATGAGTTTGCAAATGCAATCCTAGATATAAAATTGGTCTGATTAGTTAAGTTCTAATACTCTTAAGAGTTTGTTACATGTTTCCTGTGTTTCAGTTGTTTCTCAAATCAACCTTATCTTTAGGTTACAATTTGAGAACTTATTTTATGTTTGTTACATAGGAATACTAAATATATGGTTTTGTTGTTTCTGAACACTTTGATTCCACTTTATAACACCATCAGATCGCTCGCAACTGAGTTCTATCTTTAAACATCTACAAAGTAAATAAACAAAGTGATGTCTTTGGACTGGACCTAAAGTATAATTAATCGATCAAACGAACTTACCTTAAGTGAAGTTCGATCGTAATTATACGAGGGTCCAGTCCGAAGACATCACTCCCACCCCTTTTTTCAACCCTCCCAAGTTGTGTAGCAAGTACCATTTCTTTTAACAAATGACTCAACGTGCAAGACCGGAGCGCGACGGGACGGGAGCGGGGATCTCTTCTCTTTTAACTTGGTGTGCGGCTAGTACTCCAGGGCCGGACTACAAAGTAAATAAACAAAGTGATGTCTTCGGACTGGACCCTCGTATAACTACGATCGAACTTCACTTAAGATTAGTTCGTTTGATCGATTAATCTTAATCGTCACCGTAAAGACTGCCTCAGATTACGAATTTCCTTCAGTGTTAATAATTGAATTTAAGAAGCTGTCAAAATATCGTGAACGACCTCTTACTTTATAAGGAGTCGGAGACTTGGCTGAATCTTGATGATACTTACGTATTATCTCCTTTTCCTTAGCTTCAATTGTGCTTTCCCTGGATTTAGCCAGAACATCATAGTTTTGAGAAACCTTTTCACCCAAATTCTGTAAAAATTGAGCGTTTGTTGCCAGTGTCTCCAAGCTACTCTCTAACTTCTTTGAGTACGTTTCGCTGCTACCCAACACAGATGTCTCTTGCTGTTTCATCTGCTTTATGTACTCGACCTGGATGGAGTGCTCCAGTTTCAACTCTTCAATTATTCTGTTGTGGCTATCTTTTAAGAGTGTCACCTCTTCTTTATGCTGCTCTTCAACAGCTTTTAGTTTATTTTTGTAGAAGTCTATTTCTTCTTCGAATTTTTGTTTAACGTTTTTCAACTTATCGTCAAACATTTCAGACAAACTCGTCATGTTGGTCTTCAGTTTCTCTTCCATAGTGTTTGATGCATGTTCCAGAATATCCAGCTGCTTTCTGAAAAAGTGTTTTATTGAGTATTAGAAGGAACGTATGTGGCATTGGTAAGAACAACATCATATTCTCACTTGTATGATTCTTCCATCAGGATCATCTCTTCATCGTGTCTTTGCTTGATTGAATTTATCAGATTTTTCATCTCCTCAGACTTTTCTTCATGGATGCCACTTTGAGATGAGTTTTCTCCTTGTCCTGGGTTAGACAGAGAGCTCGACAGCAGCATTTGTATTTGATTGTTGATTCTCTCTTGTTGAAGCCTTACGTTATTTTCAGTCATTTGTTGCTTCATGATATATTCTTCTAACAAACCATGTAACTGTAAAGGTATACGTCGAAAAATATTTTCCTTGTCATGAGACAGAAATGAGGAATTTGAAATGCTAAAGTTGTCATTTAAACGATGAAATAAAAAGTAGTTTTGAGATAAGGTATTTTGGATCATTGATGACAATTTTGAAAGATTTTCAGACAGTTTTGAAATGCACCATAATATTACCTGTCTCTCTTGTTTGGAGAGTATATCTTTCTGTTGCTCTCTAATCTCGTTCAAGGACTCTTCATACTTCTTCAGTTGCAATGAGACCAACAAGAACGATTCTTGAGCATGAAGCGACGAGTACGCATTTTGGATATCCAAGTTGATATGCTGAGGGTTGATTGTAGCGACGGTACTAGTTTTGCTGATACTCTTTGTGGGTTCTTTTGAATCTTCAATGTCTTTCTTGTCGGTCTTCAGATCAATTGTGCCATCAGTTGTTGTTTTGGTTGTCAATGAAGTGTCTGATTTGTTTACGCTGGGGAGTGGAGCTCCTAGCCAGTCTGGGAAGCCTGAAGTCAAAATTAAATCAAGTAGATTGATTTGTTATTAATAAATAATTTTAAGGATCTGTATTCAAAATTCTGGAAAACTGCTTAATTGACAGAAGTCAAAAAACCAAAATTGGATCTCCGTTATCGAGCTCATAAAATATTTCTGTTGGTGTACCACAAGGTAGTAAACTAGGTCCACTACTACTTATTTGATACATTAATGATATTCGTACCTAAAACAAAATGTATGCTAATAGGGAAATACCTAAATGATAATATTATCACAGTTAGGATAAATGGTAAAATAATTGAAAGTGTTGAATCAATTAAATATTTAGGAACAAATATTGAAAGTAAATTAAAGTTAGAGGGTCACTATGTATACATTATTTCAAAAATCACAAATTACTTTCATAGTCTTAGTACATATTCAAAAAAAAAAAATTGTTTATAATACAATTATTCTACCGCGTAGTTCAACTATCTTTATTCTCGAAATTACAAGTCCTGCAAAATAAAGCTATGAGGATAATATTGAATAGAAAAATGTTACAGGAATTGCAATGGTTGAATATAAAAAATTTCAAATAATATTCATATTTTTATATTTAAAATAAAAAATCATATTTTGCCATAACATTTAGAACACTACATATAATTGAATAATCAATAATTACCACAATTATTATTCAAGAGGAAATATAGGTGTTCATTAAAAAAATTGCAATAGTAATATGTATAACTGGCAAATCAACATTTCAGAATGGATTACGTGGATTTAATAAACTAAATAATGATATAAAGTCTATTTGTAATTTACAGATTTTTAAAAGAAAATTAAAGGAATATTTCGTGGACAGTGAAAATTCTTATAAATGCAAATTTTGTTTTTCTAAATATATGTACGTTATGTAATTGTTGTAGTTTTTTAAAAAAAGATCGTAATTGATTAGCGAACAGAGATACATACTGACAAATCGACGGTAATGGTTTTTCGAGATGTAGGTACATATATAAACATAAAAAAAATCAAATTTCATTTTCGAAACTTTTTGTAACTACAAAACTTCCTCGCCAGTAGGCCTGGGAAGTAAAAAATGGACAGCGAGCTTGAAAAGAGAGGCTTTTATACTTTTGGTTTTCTGGTTCTACCGCGGCTGCCCTGCCTCTTCAAAGATTTGCGTTATGTGTGATGAATCATAATAAGCAAAACAGGAGACATGGTGAAAGGAAGCGTTAAGAAGGAATACCTTTTTCCGAAGCACCTTTAATTTGTACTTCTTCAGCCTGCTTAGAAGATATGATGTCTTTCTTCTCAACTTTATCTTTAGTATAGAAATCGCCAGATTGGTAGTCATCTCCAAACAATCCTAACGCATCTTCAATACCTGTAGATGACCCTCTTCTCATTCTCCTTCTATCTCTGGAGACGTTTGTTAGAATTCCTGTATCTCCAGAAGGCTTGGATGCCATGCTGAATACCTTAAAAATATACATCAAAAGTAATCAGAGAATCTTGGATGTTCAGACAAGGAAGTCAAAACGGAAGAGTGTAGCCATAACACATCGTACGCCACTGTAACGTGACGTGTCTTTGTATCGGCAACGCCGCACAGTAATACGAATTGCGAATGCACATTTATCAAGAACAATAATCTAAATTGTCATCAGATATCACTGTTAGGGCAGTTGAGTGGATTTGTATGAACTAAAACTAAACCTTTAACAATGACAACAATTTACTGTGTAAACGTGCAATAAATTTTGTTTACCACGAAAGAATTTTACAGACGAAATCATTGTTGACGATTGTATTTATATTATTATTGTTTTGACACCTTGAAAGTCCTTTGCTACTTGATAAAGTGGAGTATTTGGGAATTTGTGGGACCCTATCATGTATCGGCAGCATCTCAGTCCTACGCACTGTCCTATGCTACAGATATTGCGTTGACCTTACCTAACACAGTGTTGCCGGATGTAAAGGAAATTCTCAGTTATGCTATGTCTGAATGAATTAAATATGGTAATATAACGTAGTAAACAGTGAAAAGAAATCTGTTGCACACATCGCTGGAGAAGCGCATAATAATTCTCGCACATTATATTATCCCTTGGCGCTGTGCAGCTCAGGATGTGAAAATGGTCAGCCAATAATGACATACTTCTCCATCTCCATCAAGCTCAGTAATATTACTTGAGCTTCCAAACTTTCTCTAAAAGTACTATTGAATATAGAGGGTGATAAGGATACTTTATCGCCCTGGGGCATTAAGGAGTTCGTTGACTGAAAGATGAGACTTAAGGCCTGAAAAACCTATTTAGAAAGTGCGCTGTACCGGCCAGAAGTAGATAAACAATTTTTGAAATAGGATATCACAAACTGATTTAACGTCATGTGTCACTTTTTTCAGCAGCCTGTCTGGAGGAGTATCCCTAATACTTTTTCCCTAATTGTTTCATGGTGTGTATAGAGATGACTGAAAAACAATGTTATCTGTCTCTTTGTTGCCAAAAATGCAATTTTTGTGCATTTTCATGCATTTTTTCTTCAACCATAACTTTTGAACAACTAATAGTACAACGCAAAAACTGTATGTGAATATTCCACTTTTATGGACGTATCAAGCGGGTTATTACTTATTGTCTTATCACTTTCTCTCTGCATAAAATATTTGCTTTTCTTGAAAACTCAAATTACTGCTACAATTTCAAATCTGGGAAACATCGCTGATTGGAGAGTCACACGATTGGGATAAACACCATCTAATTTGAAAGTCAAGTATTTAAGAAGTCTCCTCTGTACACTTTCAATTTCATTAGTATAGATTTGGTAATATTGATGCCATACACTAGATGCATATTCCAGCTTAGAACGCACCAAGATGCAGTATAAACCCTTCAGTACCGTTTCACTACCAAACAATTTACAGTTTCTTATAAAAAAAACGAGACTTTTTATAGCGGATGATACTATTGTACTAATATGACCTGTAAATTCTAATTTAACATCAAACAACACACCTAGATCTCTTACTTCTGAACAACGCATCAAACTGACACCGTCCAGTGTGGAATCAAAAACTATTGGATTCGTTTTCCTGGTAAAAGGACAGGTTTTGCATTTGCTAACATTCAAAAATAATTTATTAGTTGCACACCATTCAAATATATGATTTAGGTCAGCTTGAAAGATAAGACCGTCATCAATGCTGTTAATCTGAGCATATATTTTTAAATCATCGGCAAACAATAGAGAAAGACAGGTTAAGCAGTTAGGGAGGTCATTGATAAAGTAAAGAAAGAGAAGAGGGCCTAAATTTGAGCCCTGCGGTACACCGGATGAGGCCGAGTAAGGTGAAGATTTGAAACCATTGTAAGGAACGTACTGATTTCTATCATGCAAGTTAAAAGAAATGAAATCTAATAAATGATTGCTAAAACTAAAATGCTGAAGTTTACCTATGATTCTTTGGTGACTAATCTTATCGAAGGCCTTTGAAAAATCCGTATAGACCACAGCCATCTGAACCCTATTATCTAAGACCTCTGCAAATTCCAGGGTGATTTCGATTGAGTTAGAAATAGTAGAGCAATTATGCATAAGTCCATGTTGCGTCTCAGATATCAGATTCAAGGTCAAAGGATAGATGTATTTGTATACAGATATCTCAAATGCATACAATTTTTAGAGAGATATGCTACATTGTCGGAGTAAAAGGAATACCAAAGCACTCTCAAATTATGTATTCAAATTTTTTTAGGATTCTGAGGCAAACTTTGATGACTCAGGTGTTTGAAAACCTGACCCTTGCTGCGAGCATTGCATCGGAAAGCATTGGAAGATGATATTTTTTATTTTAGTTTTTGTTTTTACAAAATTTATTTTCCACTTTCATGATTGTTCATCAAACGAGGATTTTCATAAAGGTTATTATTACAAAGTTATTAATGATTAAGTTTCGAATAATAGGTACCTCTTTAACCGGAGTACTTGGCCTTGGATTGCTAACAAACTTGGAATCCTTCAGTATATCATCGAACGTGGTAACTTTTTTCTCAGGCTTGGAAGATTTTGACCGCACCGGCAGAATATCATCCAACAAGTCCGTCTTTCTGCTGTGCTTTTCAATAACATTATCTGGATCGCCCAACCAATCTTCCTTTCCCTTTGAACTAGAGTCCACCTTCTTGATAGAATCATCAAACGTAACCGTGTGTTTAGGCTTCTCAGGTTCAATTTTTGTCACATTTTCCGCTGATTTTTCACTAAGGCCGAAGAGAGACTCCACAGACTTTTTCTCACTGGTTTTGGTTAGGCTACCGCGCTTTGCGAGCACTTTCGGTTCTTCAAAAAAGCTATCGTCACTTTCAGCATCGTCTTGCAAATCAAAATCCATTTTTAACAAGTTAAATACGAGGGTGAGTTGTTGTCAGTCGAACAGCTGGCATAACACAGAAGTCTTATCGTTGTCATGGTTACGGCACAATGTTTGTATTGTCGTGTATTTCATTAAGGGTAATTACACACGTTGCGAAGGGCCTCCAACGCATAATTGCTGCCATAGTCAAGCACGAATGAAGACGAGGCCTAAATACAGTTTAGCGAGCGCTACCGTGATATGGTGCAAAACTTTCTAGCTCATCAAATCTAATAATTTAACCTGAAAAACATGTGGTTCCAGCAGGACGGAGCTTGTCACTCAGCGACGGAAACAAGGAATCTTTTGCGAACAATATTTCCGGCACGTTTAATTTCTCGATTTGGTGATGTGAACTGGCCACCGAGGTCACCGGATTTAACGGCTCCTGACTTTTTTATGGGGATTTTTGAAAAATAGGATTTATGCCAACAAACTAAATAGTGTAGAGCTGCTGAAGAACAATATTATTAAAAAAAGTGATGGAAAGTGTAATCAAGATGCCTCAGGTTTGCGCGGCTGCTAGAGGCGGACATTTGTCTCATATTATTTTTCATACATAATTTCTAAGTTTCATTAAAAGATCAAGATGAAAAAAAATGGGCGTATTTTATTTCTTTTCAAGATACAAACCAGTCAGTTACATATCGGCCACCCCGTATAATGGTGAATCTAGAAATCTACTCTAAAAGCAGGTTCTACTGCTGTACCCTAGATGGCGCGATGATCCTCAATTCATTTTTAGTGCCTCTCTAGAGCTTATTTTAGTAGGATATCTTCAGGGATTAACTAAAGTATTGAAGATCCCAGAACCATATATGAAACAGTGGATGAACTAAACAATCTACTAACTAGCTAAATATTTTTATATATGGTATGTATACGGTTGGATATCTTCAGGTATTAAGTGCTTAGGGGTCCATAACCATGGTTAGAATATATATATTGCTCCAAATGAAACATTGTATATAGAGTAGTCACTGCTGACGTTACAGAATGGAAATAACTTTACAAATTTATTTATGTAGCCATACTTACGTAAATGAGGGGCACTGAACAAACAGAAAAATAATTATTGTTAAAACTGGATCACATATATAGCAAGTTCATAATCAATGAAAATAAAAAATATCGAATTATCTTAGGGTTATAAAATTTGAGTTTTTATTTTGATTTGAAAACATCAACTATCAATATTAAGTACTCCATTTTTTTATATCTAAGATTTGCTAAAGCACAGTTGTAATATATATCATTCAGTGAAATGCATTTGGGGCTTTTAAATTCCAAATATTATACAGGGTGTAAACGTTATGGTAGTCATTGTTGAAATGGGTAATGGGGGGGGGGTCAAAACAAGTCAAAAAGTTCATATGACCCATGGTCCAAAAGTCAATAGATTTGTGTCTAAATGGCTTTATAGTTTACAACTTTAAGTGCTTTATATCGACCACAATTACCACAGTCTTACTAATTTTTATAATCTAATCTAAAACGTTTATAAATTGTCAGTAACTAAGTAAGTTTCATTAAATTAAATATTTAAGACACACATGACAACAGCGCGTCGGTCTTTCATCACTCTTATCGAACCGGCAATCGATCGCAAACGGTAACAGTGGTTAGTTATCGGGCATCGGGCGTGTTTTGTTTTTGTTCGCGTACGTCGTCGTGTTTTTTATTTATCGCGACAGATTTCGCCAACGGGTACTTTTGTGCAAGTGTACCAAAGACTTCGAGATACAGGAAGTGTTCAGCCCACTAATATTCGCACTCGTGAAAGACGAGTTACTGTATAGCAGGAGGAACAAACTTTAAATATCGTGGAAATCAATGCAGATATCAGCACTCGGGAATTAGGCCGCCGCGTAGGACTATCGCATACCATAGTCCATAGAATCCTACGGGAAAATTTGCCTTATCTCTACCACGTACAATGAGTACAGGCCTTGTTACCAGAAGACTATCCTCGCAGACTAATATTCTGTCAGTGGGTTTTGCACAAAAACATTGAAAATCCGGATTTTCTTAAAAACCTTCTAGCGACGGACGAATGTACTTTTACGCGAGACGGGATATTAAATTTCCATAATACTCACACGTGGGCCCAAGAAAATCCTCATACCATTCGTGAAGGTCGTAATGAAGCTTGTGTGGAAAGTGGAGGACGACAGTTTGAACACCTTCTTTAAATACAAAAAAGTGCAGTGTGTGTTTTAAAAAGAAAAACAATGTATGTATCAAAATTGTGTTCCCTATTTATAAGTGGATTTTTTTAATACGTTCAATAAACTTAAACACACCAGGTGAACTGCTGAGACAGTGATAAGTCCGTTTTTTTTAATTGTTTGCATTTTACGAGTACATTATCAAATAATGAAATAATACCTAAGAGTCAAAAGTAACAAACTCAATCTTTATTTACACTGCCTTCCGTCGTAATTTGCGTCTGGCATTGCGGCGTTTTCAGATTTTATTTTACTTTAAAGTTGCTTTTCTCTAAAAAAATGCCGTTTTGAACCCCATGTTATATGAAACTTCTTCCTGCTTTTAACCACCTCTATCACCCATTTAAATAATAACTATCATAACGTTTACACCCTGTATAATTAGACTGCCGACGAAATTGTATGGGTACAAAGTATTTGGTAAAAAGAGTTCTGGACTGGACTATAAGTCATGCCAGGAGAAAAAGTAGAGCAACCATTTTTTATCCATGAAGAATAAGGTTAGAAGTCATGATTTAGTTTTTTCGTTAAGTTATATTATCGCTGAGCGAACGAACGTTGGTTCTTTTTTATTGAGAGGCTTCTGATCCCGGAAACACTACGCACCTCTTAGACAGAACAATCAACACATATTTTTCATAGCTGCCATTGAAACACAAACTAAATTTATTTGATAATTGTGCACCTATGAGAACACTTAGAGTTACTAAGCCACCAGCTCCTAACATACAATATTAAAATGATCAATAAAGCTAGAGATAAAGCGTATCTAAGGTTTAAAAGAAGTAAGTCAACTGCCCACTGGAACTATTATAAAGAACTCCGTAATTACGCTGCTGCTGCTCTGCGGAGAGAGAAAAAGGCTTATATGGAATATATCCTATCTGGGAGGAACAGTAAAGCAATATGGAGTTATCTTAGGAAACTTAATATAATTAAGTCCTGTATAAATACTCTTCCAGATAGCTTCAATGACGCAGATGAAAAAAATTCACATTTCTCAAATATTCCGATCATAACCAAGACACAAAAGCAATTAGAACTACTGAAAAAATATCAAAACAATAAGTTTCCCAAGTCATTCTGTTTCCAAAAGGTTGCCAAGAATCTGTTGCGAAGAGTTTCTCATTTATTAAAACTAATGCTGTAGGGGCTGATGGAATCTCACTGATTATGATAAAATACATTTTCACTTTGCTCTTAGACCATATTACATTTATAATCAATCACGCAATATCAACATCCTGTTTCCCTGATGCTTGGAAGCAGGCTATCATCATACCTATTCCTAAAGTAGCGATTCCCACGTCTGTAACGCAACTTAGATCAGTCAGCTTACTTCCCGCATTTTCGAAGCTTTTGGAACGGGAAATAAAGATACAAATATCTCAGTATATTTTCAGTAATGAAATAGTTCCATCAATGCAGTCTGGATTCAGGGAAAACCATAGTACAACAACTGCTCTAGCCAATGTCACTGATGATGTTATAAGAGGCCTTGACCAAGGAAATATCACTTGTTTTGTGCTGCTGGATTACACAAAAGCATTCGATATGATAGACCCTGAAATTCTGATACTTAAGCTGTCTTACTATGGTTTTAGTGATGCTGCAGTCAATTTGATAAGCTGCTATTTGTCAAATAGAAATCAAAAGGTCTTAACAGCTTCGAAAATGTCACAGTCGACTGCTATAAGTTTTGGTGTTCCTCAAGGTTCCATACTGGGAACTTTACTTTTCTCTCTATATATATCGGATTTCCATCAATATGTCCATAATTGCACAATCCATCACTATGCTGATGATACTCAAATTTATTTTAGTTTCCAACACAAAGATTTAAAAATTGCAGAAGCATTGCTCAACGAACACTTAACAAGGCTAGTAGACATCTCGTGCTCGCATAACCTAAAAATTAATCCATCTAAATCTTCAGTTATGGTTTTCGGCTCAAAAAACAAAAGAACATTGATCGAAACGGAAATTAACCCCTAAAACCTATGATTGCCGGCTTCCTATAATGAATGAGTGTAAAAACCTGGGACTCTGGATTGACACAGAACTAAAATACAAAAAACACGTAAATTCGTTATGTAGTGCATCATACTGCATTTTGAAACAGTTTTATCCACATAGGCAAATAATATCTACTTCAGTAAAGCTGAAACTGTGTGAAACATTAATTATATCAAAGATCAGTTATTGTGACAGTATATATATGGCGCAGCTCTATCATATAGTGAACAAAGCAAATTACAGCGTATTCAGAATTCGTGCATCTGATTTTCTTGCGGAATACGAAAGTTTGATCATATTTCTCATAAATTTAAGGAACTTGGTATTCTGCAGATTAAAGGCATGCACTTATTGACACTCACACATAAGGTCTTAGCTACCAAACAACCACAATATTTGCTTAATAAGTTAACACGATGTAGTGACATAAATCAACTGAATACAAGGAATAGGAATATCTTAGTGATACCCTTACATTCTAAGGCTGTCTACAAAACATCATTCAGCTACAATGCTATTAAATTATATAATGATCTGCCTGTTACATTCCAAAACCATACGTTATTTACTTTTAAAAAGAGGCTTAAACTAAAACTAAAAGTCGAGGTCTGATGATGAGTACAAAATGCTAGAAATATGGACTATTCTTGTAATTGTTCTGTGTTGTTAATTATTTAGTAAGTATTGAGAATTATGGATACATTTTTGTTGGTAGAATGTTTTATTATATATATATATATATATATGTTTTTTTTTGTTAAGGTTAAGGTTAAGTTGAAAAACGCTAATCTAAGCGACACTTCGCCTTTTTTGTACTTTTACTTAGGTACGAAATAAAGCCCATTTATTATATTATTATTATTATTAAATACTACGAAGTTGAGTCATTTATTAGCACTGAGTAGATCTGATCAAAAGAAATGTTTTTTTCCTATAACATTTTTCTGGTAAAATTAAAGTAACAAAGTTATAGCCCTTTAGAGGTTTGAGTACCGCCCTCTCTCAATAATAATATTATGTGCTCGTGTTTGGCAACAACGGATATAATCCGCCTTATCGGTTCATCGCATCGGAAACAAAAAAGCGAAAGAATTTGGAACGATGTTTTTACAATTATTTTATTCAGTTGTATACAGTCTGTGTCAGTCGGTAACGTGTGAGTGAATAGTGGTGTCTGTTGCGTGGCTCAAACGAAATAAAAAATGGCACATGTTTACGAAAATGCTGAACTTGTGGACATGACTCTTATTTACAAAATGCTGCCGCGGCATCACGGATTTATGCGGATCGGTTTCTCAATCGAGTGCAACCAACCCCTCATGCTTTTGTTAATGTAGTACAAAGAGCTCATGAATCAGGTGACTTAAGACCTCACAGGGGAGAGCATGCCGGTGCTCCAAGACCGCACGATCAAATAGAACTACAGGAACAAATTTTAGAATTAGTAAATGATTTATTATTATTCACGTAATTCTCACTCGCTATTGAAAATCTCCATGAAATAAGGGAAATTAATTTTTAACAGCGATTTGAACCAATCAGCCTGTGGGCTGGAATTGTTAATGGAATTTTAGTGGAGCCTTTTGAATTACCAAACCGCTTAACTGGTTAAAATTATCTTGATTTCTTGCAACACAATTTGCCTGGTTTACTGGAAGATGTGCCTTTAAATATTAGACAAAACATGTGGTTTTTACAAGATGGGGCACCCCTCCATTATGCAAGAAATGTGCGTGAATTTTTAAATAGACAATTTAGTAATCGTTGGATCGGCCGGGGCGGTTTATTACCTTGGCCGCCAAGGTCTCCGGACTTGAATCCTGTAGACTTTTGTTTGCGGGGTTGGCTAAAATCTCTAATGTATAAAACACCGGATAATACCCGCATAGTGTTACGTGCTCGAATTGAGAAAATGCGTACAGTGATCAGAAATCAACCAGTGATTTTATTGCGTGCTTGTAAAGAGACATGGCTAAGACGCGCCCAGCTCTGCGTCGAGCGAAACGGAAATCATTTCGAACAGTTTTTGTGACATGCTTTTGGGCGCACAGGTCCGCACTGAAATACTTGTCGGGAGGATACTTCATAAAACAAGGTAACATTTTTTTCTATTTTTTTTTATTTTTACACACATATTTTGGTTTATCTTCCTTCTACAATTATTATCTGAAAATTAATGACTCAACTTCAAAGTCACCCTGTATATATTTATTTTCTGTTGATTGATTGACCTATTTCTAGACGTCTATGATATATGGTACATATACAAGTTAAGTCAGGTTTCGATTCCATTTGAGCCTTTTGATAAAGCTTGACCCATTCTTTTCTTGAAACCTTGAAATTTCGAAGTTGTTATGTACGCGTGGGAAGTACAAACTCAGTCTATCTGACGCCATTCTTAGTACGGCTGGGGTATTACGTATGTTGAAACGTGGTATTGTCATTTGTTTAGGTTTTTTGACATTTTTTTACAAAGCTTAACCTAGCTGTTGCACACTCGATGTGTACTCGTCCCGTAGCTGTACGTGTTGTCTAAACTCCATGGTGCTTCAACTATCAATGTTTGGCTCTCATGTGATCTAACATCTGCTTCAGAGATGGCATTAATAGAGGTCTAAACTGTCAGCTGTACACTAGCTGGAAGGAAACGGCTGTGCATAGGTGAATAGCGAGAATTTTTGTGCTAATAAATAATTTGTGTTGATGATGAGTCTATTGATTTATTGTGTTGAATACACTTACTTGAGATGTATGGCAGGCTAGAAACTAGTAGCTGAATTTGAAAAAAAGGGGGCCTGAAAAGAATATCGCTGGTTGGTGAATTATTTTAAAACTAACAGGTGAGAAAATATGGTACGTTTAGGAATATTTTTGACACGTAAAAGAGTTATTACATTTCACATTCGTTTTTATTTCCAGTCACTTGACTTTTATAGAAATTTATTTTACGATGTCAAGAAGAAAACACAAGTCAGCGCCTAGATGTGAGGCAGTGCGAAAAATGTTTTGTATGTGATGAGCCACTCCAAACTTTTCTGTGATGTGGTTTAATTACACACAACGCGGGTGCGTTGTTGATTTCCCGTAATGCTTCTTTGAAACGCAAAAAAACGGGGAAAACCGTAATATATAACTTATATATATTCAGTTATAGTTTCCTCACATAGCAAACATCACTAATTTTGTCCACATGCAGACCAATACACAAAATCATCGGGATCTTGCTACTCTGCTACTCAACCACACATCTGCTCACGGTATGCTCTACAGACTCTCGGAATTCTGCAACCAACAAAGCATGATGGGGAACTGACTTGCATAGATAGACGCTTTTGATGGCGCTCTCAGCGCCATCTAAACATGAGAGATGAGACTTTGTCGTTTTTTTCACGTTTTATCGGTTTTTTAGTAAAAACCTTGCGGATAAGTATAACGATAACCTCAACAATAACAATCAACCTACTTAACTCAATAATTTATTTCATTACATTACAACACACTTTACAACGCCCACACCTTCACATAATCCACTTGCAAGTGACTGGTATCCCCTTTCATATTCCAAGTAGGGAGCCAATCCCCCCTCTTTTCCCAAAACTCTTTCATAGCTGTCGGAGAGCCATTCTTCCATGGCTTGGGTTTTGGGTTCCTCATGCCCTCAGGGAAATAACCTGTAGTACCTCCAACGGCGAGGTTGATCAAGATGTGGAATTCTTGGTCAAACGGCGCCATCTTGGAATTAGTCCATGGGTTCTTGAGTCCAGTGCGTGCCAGGTCACCAAGCTGCCAGAAGCCACCTTGAGGAGGTACCACTTTGCCGATTTGTTGGTTGTCCACGAAGAAAGTCATGTCGTTTGGAGTCCATACCACTTTGTAGAGGTGGAAGCCTGTGTCATAGCCATTAGCGTTGTTCTTTTCGTAATGGGTTTTGTAGAATCTGAAATAAGAAATTGTTACGTTATATTAGGGTTTGTTGGGCAAGGGAGTTGTAGGTGTCATTTGCACGGAGCATCGGAATTTTCTAATTTACAGAGTGTAAACGTTATGGTAGTCATTAATGAAATGGGTTATAGGGGAGGTCAAAACAAGTCAAAAAGTTCATATGACCCATGGTCCAAAAGTCAATAGATTGCTGTCCAAATGGCTTTACAGTTTATAACTTTAAGTGATCTATATCGACCACAATCACCACAATCTTACTAATTTTTATAATCTAATCTATAACGTTTTTAAATTGGGTAATTAATAAATAAATGGCATTAAGTTTTTCTAAGTTGAGCCAAAATTTGTAGTCAGTAAGTAAGTTTCATTAAATTAAATATTTAAAACACACATGACAACAGCGCGTCGGTCTTTCATCACTCTTATCGAACCGGCAATCGATCGCAAACGGTAACAGTGGTCAGTTATCGTTTTGCATAGACAAATTACTTTATCGCTTTGTCGAGCAGAGTATCGGGCGTGTTGTTTTTTTTTGTTCACGTACGTCGTCGTGTTTATTTACAATGTTCTCGAATCAAGAGTTCGCCGACATGTTGTTAGTTTACGGTGAAGCTCGTCAGAACTCAAATCTTGCAGCTCAAATTTATCGCTACAGATTTCGCCAACAGGTACACCCAGACAGAAGGACATTTGTGCAAGGGTACCAAAGACTTTGAGATACAGGAAGTGTTCAGCCCACTAATATTCGCCCTTGGGAAAAACAGGTTACTGTAGAGCAGGAGGAACAAATTTTAAACATCGTAGAAATCAATGCAGATATCAGCACTCGGGAATTAGGCCGCCGCGTAGGACTATCGCATACCATAGTCTATAGAATCCTACGGGAAAATTTGCTTTATCCTTACCATGTACGAGTGCAGGCCTTGTTACCAGAAGACTATCGTCGTAGACTAACATGCTATCAGTGGTTTTTGCACAAAAGCATTGAAAATCCGGATTTTTTAAAAACATTCTAGCGACGGACGAATGTACTTTTACGCGAGACGGGATATTAAATTTCCATAATAATCACACCCGGGCACAAGAAAATCCTCATACCATTCGTGAAGGTCATTTCCAACAACGTTTTAAAATAAATATTTGGGCGGGTATTCTTGACGATCAGGTAATTGGCCCTTTCGAGTTACCCCAAAAGTTGTGAGGAGAAGAGTACCTTAGCATTCTAGCCAATAACCTACCAGAACTTTTGGAACAGACCTTAGACAACATGCCATTACAACGGAGACATAATTTGTGGCTTCTTCATGACAGGGTACCACCACACATTTTTAGAGGCGTCATTCAGTATTTGAATGAACATTATCCAAATCGCTGGATCCGTCGAAATGCTCCTGATCCTCGAAAATGGCCAGCAAGTTCTCCTGACCTCAATCCGATGGATTTCTGGTATTGGGGAGAACTTAAAGGGATGATTTATGGGGTTGGTCCAATAACAACTGAAGCACAACTTCGCGAAAAAAATTTTAATGCGGCTGAAATAATAAATGGACAACTTCGAGGAGCTAGAGTAAGAAGAAACTGGGTTCGTCGTAATGAAGCTTGTGTGGAAAGTGGAGGATGACATTTTGAACACCTTCTTTAAATACAAAAAAAGTGCAGTGAGTGTTTTAGAAAGAAAAACAATGTATGTATCAAAATTGTGTTTCCTATTTATAAGTGGATCTTCTTAATACGTTCAATAAACTTTCACACACCTGGTGAAGCGCTGAGACAGTTAGTGAAGAAAAATACTCGTAACAAACTCCATCTTTAATTACACTGCGTTCCGTCGTAATTTGCGTCTGGCATTGCGGCGTTGTCAGATTTTATTTTACTTTAAAGTCGCTTTTCTATAAAAATGCCGTTTTGACCCCCATGTTATATAAAACTTATTGCCTCATTTAACCCCCTCACCCAATTAGATAATGACTATCATATCGGTTACACCCTGTATAATTTGTTTAAAATGGAATGAGTAGATCTCAAAACTTAGCGGATCTTCTTTTATTCGTCATGCTCAGTACGCCTCGTAAAATCTTTGATTTTGGTTAAAGCTTTTTTAGCCAGTCAATCAGGCTTTGTTGCTTAGATACCTAACAAAATTCAGGGAGAATGAAGGAAAAAAGAAAAAACTGTGTACAAGTAGGTTGCCTCTGCGCTTTTCACGCAACGCTATGATCAGTTCATAAACAATTAGTACATACTCTCCCCCCTCCCTAAGTACCATCTGAAAACGCTGCTGAACCACACCAGAAGACCACGTCATGAGCTCTAGGCACGATACTATAACAACCCTGCCCGTGAGGCTGTCAGACGCAAGGCAAGGTTCGATCTATGAAAGTCGCCGCTGCTTCTCCTCGTCCCGACCGACAGCGCGTATCGTCTATAAGTTGTTATAAGGGCAAATGTGTGTTGATGTGTGCAATATGGTGCGTAAAATCACTGGGGCTGGAAGCATATAAATGTACTGCCACCATCATAATGAGATATACCTACATTCCCTTACCTCCTACAATTCCAACCCCCATTTTCAACCCCTACAAATTTTTTGTCTGAAAATGAGCAGGAGTCTCTGAAACGTCAAAAAACGAAGATTGAGCGTTTTTTTATTTTTTCGTGTTTTTCGATCGATTTTCAAAAACTGCAAAGGTTTTTCATCCTTGGCATAGTAGCTATATTTTGTGAAAATTTTATAAACATCCGGGCAGTACTTTCCAAGTTGTAGGAGGACGGACCGACAGACAGACAGGCAGACCGACGGAAATGAGTGACATGGTGTCATATAATATAGAGGGTGTTTCAGTTTATTGTTGCATAACTTTAAGATTCGATAGAACTTTAAAAATTAATGCATAAAGTCTATATAAACATGGGTCGAAAAATGCGTGGCTTCCGAAATACAGGGTGTTTAAATTTACTTTCTAAAATAGTTTTCTTTAAATATTTCGAACAATATTTGATGTATAACAATGAAATTTGGTACACAAGGGTTTTCTTGTACGATAAAACGAACCATGGGCATAGTTTTACTGTAGCCGCTAGAGGGCGCTCTCTACTGTACCTGTAGTGTATTAAAATGACCGAAAAATTTTTCTTAGTACAATTTTTTACTTTTTGAATAAAAAAACTGATTCTTCGCACTTTTCTGTATAAAAAAGCTCTATTGTGAGTTTTCGTTATAGTTAGCCGTTTTTGAGATATTTCGATTTTTAAGGTCCGATGCATTTTTAATTATTTATGGGAAAATAATATTTTTTTTACATTTTCGATTTGGGCATTACAAGTAATTAAGATGATCGTTTAGATTGTGTTTTTAAACACAGCAATAATTCCTAACTCCAAATAAACACAAAAAAACAGAATATTAATTTGTTTAATTTTCCAATATTATTTTTAACAAATTGAATTAATTATTTGCAACTGAAGTGCTATTGGATAGTTAGGACAAACATACAAAATCTAAAGTAGTTGCTCGAAATGTAAACCCAATTGTTCAATACACAATTCACATCTACGGATGATCGAATGTGGTATAGCATTATTCAAAGAAGGCCTTACTTCATCACATGCATTCCTTATTCTGTCTATTAGCATATCTCTTGTGGTTACGGGAGTCTGGAACACTTTTTCTTTTAGAAATCCCCACACAAAGAAATCTAATGGATTTAGGTCAGGGGATCGTGGAGGCCAGGCGACTGGTCCTCCACGGCGATCTATCCTTCTGGATAATTTTCGTCCAGCCAATTTCTAACTATTCTCGACTAATGAGCTGGACAACCATCAAGCTTTAACCAGGCCAATCTTCTTAAATCTAACATAACATCATCCCACATATTTGCATGTTCAGCCTTTAAAAATTCCAAGAAGGTCGCAGCATTTAACCTTGCAGGCAAGAGATAGGGTCCAAATAGTCGATTACGGTAGATACCAATCCACACGTTCACACTAAATTCATGCTGAAAATTTCTTTCCCGAACTGCATGCGGATTTTCATGCGACCAAATATGTTGATTATGAAAATTTACCACTCCACGTCTAGTGAAGCATGACTCATCGGTCCATAAAACGTTACTTAAAAACTCCCTATTATTATCAGTTCTATCAAGAATCCACTGACAAAATGTGATTCTTCGTTCTCCGTCCCCTGGAGGTAGTCCTTGCACAGGTTGCAAATGATAAGGACGTCTAAACCATTTTCAATTATTTGGCGATGCACTCTTACAAATACTGAGCGAGTTGGATGTCGTCTGTTTGGAAATCTTCGTGCGTATTCTCTGGCTGCTTCTGCTGCGTTTCCATTTACAAAGCCATACACAAAATGAATATCCGCTAACTGTTGATTGGAGAATAAAAGTGGCATTTTTATAAAACTTACAAAAAAAAACAGGTAAAACAAAATAAATTTCGTGCATTCGCAATTGCAAAAAAACGTTTCAGGTTTCAACAAACAACAAAACTAACTGTCAATTAATTGACGTTTAAACTTATTCTGCTTTCAATTTCAAACATATTTGCAGGCACAGCCTACTTCTAAAAATTATCGAGATACTGACTTTTTAAGGTTATTTTATCATAAATAATTAAAAATGCATCGAACCCTAAAAATCGAAATATCTTAAAAACGGCTAACTATAACGAAAATTCACAAGAGAGCTTTTTTATGTTGAAAAGTGCGAAGGATCAGTTTTTTTATTCAAAAAGCAAAAAATTGCACTAACAAAAAAATTTCGGTCATTTTAATACACTACAGGTACCGTAGAGGGCGCCCTCTAGCGGCTACAGTAAAACTATGCCCATGGTTCGTTTTGTTGTACCAAAAAACCCTTGTATACCAATGTTCACTGTTATGCATCAAATATTGTTCGTAAATATTTAAAAAAACTATTTTAGGAAGTAAATTTAAACACCCTGTATTTCGGAAGCCACGCATTTTTCGACCCATGTTTATATAGACTTTATACATTAATTTTAAAAGTTCTATCGAATCTTAAAGTTATGAAACAATAAATTGAAACACCCTGTATAAAAAACACCACAACAACAGTATCTCATTTTCGAAATTTTTCGTGATTACAATACCTCCTCGCCAGTAAGCGTGGTAAGTAAAAGGCAATAATAGTTGTTTAAGGAAAGGGAAATGCATCTGTTGGTTTAAAAATTGTCAGAGCTGACTGAGTCTTGAATCCCTGGATAAAATCCACATTACTTCCCATCCAAAGGTCGCAATGAGTGACTAGACATGAATACCTACTAAAATTGTTACCTGTTATTCTTGGCGTCAGGTCCCCAATGCAGAGTCGAAGCCACTTGTTGGGTACCTATGTTCAATCCAGATGGGTTTTGAAGATTTTTGTTTCCACGACTTTCTAGTAAGTCTATTTCTCCAGATCTGGGCCATCCACCATATTTGTATGCTTTAGGTAGCAACCATATTGCTATAACAGAAATAAAACATTGAAAAGTCGTTTCTCTGTCTGGAAGAGGGGGAGGGGGAGTTTCAAGGTGGTAGGACACTACTAAAAAACGTATGTTTCTGTGCTTACACAAACTAACGTCTGCACATAGAGGCTGACTGCACATTGTAACGCCCTCGTATAGCTAGGACCTTGGATGACGTGGAACGGCCTAGCGAAGTCGACGGTAGGCAACCAGAGTTCCGCGATCGGATGTCAGCGACTCTGCCTGCAAAACGCTGGAATGTTTCTCGACTCGTCGATAGGGACATGAATATCACAACGGATGGTTAAACGGGTAAGTCACAGTCGAGCTTGTAGGCACAGTCTAGCCAGTAGATAACGTACGCGGATTTAAGATGGAATAATAAATACGCCAGTCGACATTATGATACGTTTGTTATGAATTAGTTGTGTGCTATAAATTAGTGTAGCTGTAATAAATAGGACTTTGAAGAGTAAGAACGATGTTTTCGTTACAATATCCATGTGTGAGTGAGATGGATGTATAAATGGTACTCCTGTAGTCTTATTGTGACCAGAAAAAACCGTGATCTATCATTTAGAGTAGAGGCTCTCAAATTTATCTCGTCTACTAAAAAGAGAATCTATTTGGTAGAGCCCTCCGAAATTCTTCAAGATGTCCGTCTTGGCGGAGGGGGCGCATCGGTGCTTCTGAAAACGGATATATTTTCATAATTTACCAAATGATTTAAAACAAATATGTAATAAATTAACAAAAAAAAATCAAAAAATGGATTAACACGTTTGGGAGAAGTAGCATTAATGAAATAATCTTAAGTAATACACAGTAAATACTATTATTCTTAATATACTAAGTGATATATAAATCCGAACACCAAGTTTAGATGGTTTTATTTTAATAAAAGTTGGTGAATGTATTTATCTTACTGTAACAAGTGAAAAAATTTTCAGCGTGATCAGTTGGACATTCCGGTTTTTATACTGCTTTTTTTTAATTCACTAACGCTCTAAAAATGAATATTTCAGCCGCACTAAAGAATCAATGTTGGCGGATTTTGGTTCTTGACATCCTTTACGATCGGTTACGATGCCTAGAGTACGATTTCGTCAACTTAGTGAGTTTGATAGGGGCCGTATAGTGGGACTTCGGGAACCTGGACATTCTTTTCGGGCAAATGCAGTTAGAGTGCAAAGAAGTGTAGACACTGTGGTTAGGTGTTGTCAGGCATGGCTTCGAGAAGGCCGTACGCAAAGAGCAAGGGGCACTGGACGCCGCCGTAGAACAACAGACCGTGAAGATCGCCGCCTAAGATTATTGGCCTTAAGGGACCGTTTCTCCACTACCAGGTCCATTGCAAATGAATGGTTTGCAGAACACGGAAGACCTATTGGCATGCGAAGTGTTTACCGACGAATGAGAAGTTTTGGCTTGTTTTCATGCCGGCCACACTGGGTCCTCCCTTTAACTTGATCCACAGTTTTTTGTTGAAAGACATGTTCATCACACTGTTGGAGTTATGGTTTGGGGTGCTATAGCTTATGGTTCCAGGTCACCTTTAATCTTCATCAGAGGTAACATGAACGCGCAACGTTATATCCACGAAGTTCTAGAACCCCATCTTTTACCCTATCTTGACACCCTGGCAGATCCAACTTTCCAACAAGATAATGCCCGACCACATGTTGCAAGAGTCACAATAGACTTCTTTCAACATAATGATGTCACATTGTTACCATCGCCACCAAGATCTCCCGACTTATCCCCAATTGAGCACGTGTGGGATATGATGGGTAGGAGATTGCTCAATTTGCAACGTCCTCCTCAGACTCTAGAAGCACTTCGAGAGGAGTTGGTGGTTGCCTGGAATGAGATACCACAGGAGGACATTGACCACCTGATCAGAAGCATGCCTAGGCGCGTTAGAGAATGCGTAGCACATCAGGGTGCATCCACACATTATTAAAGGTCAAATGTCTTTAAAGCAGTGTAATCATTTTGAAATCTTTATCATTTACTTATTATGCTTCATTAAGTACTTATACAAAATTTTATTAAAATAAAACCATTTAAACTGGGTTTGTATTCTTTCTATTCTTTAATTTTTATCTATTACAATTCTATGAATAAATTATACTTCTTTACTCATTTTAAGTAACCTGTATTTATATAGTAAATAAATATCACTACTACTATTACAATTCGAGAGCGGGGGACAGAAACTTCCCTCCCAAACAATTTAACGACCTCAAATTTCCTGTAGACTCTCACCCCAAATAGATTTCGCCCACTTTGAAAAGCACTAGTTTAGAGCTTATCGTCAACATCAGAAAATCCAATTACTATATTCAAAAAAGAAGTAAAGTATTTGAAACAAGGAAACGGCTAAATGCAAAATCAAGTTTACATGATTTGAATCATACATGCTTCCGGTTTGATCAAGACAACTGGATCTGTCAAGGTTCAATTCGTTGTCTGTCATCACTATTTCACTCCGTTGTCTGGGCTAACGACCCAAACTATATTTGTCAGAAAGTACATTATATCGAGGTATTGGGCTTCTCAAACTCAATCAAACCTGAACCAAACCGAAACCAGTCCTATCCTATCCCTCGATCTCGTCCACAGCGCCAGCGCCAGCGTACAGTTATACGACGTACGACTACGATGCAAATACGCTAGTATGTAACCTAACCTGGACGCTGGTAGTGTAGGTCAACAAACCATTACATTGGTTACCGATTGCTGTTAAAAAAAATGGCACACTCATACACCAATAGCGAAGTAGTCGACATGTGGCTAATTTGCGGTGAGTGTCTTCAAAATGCGACCGAGGTTTCGCGCGTGCATGCAGATCGTTTTCCCAGACGTCATCATCCAACGCCCCGTAGATTTGTTTATCCTTTGCAGAAACTCAGGGAAACGGGTCGCTTGGAGGAATGTCGAGGTGGGGACAGTGGGAGACCTAGACAACCCCGAATGGTGTAGACTGAAGAAGAAGTACTGAATCTCGACGATAATCCTTCAACAAGCACCAGGGTCGTGGCTAGACAGGTGTCGAAGACTAAAGTGTGGCAGACGAAGCATGATGAGGGATTGTACTCGTTTCACGTGCAGCGTGTACAAGCCCTCCAAGCTGAGGCTTTTCCTGCAAGAGTGCGGGTTTGTGAGTGGTTGTTGCACCAACATGATAATAATCTGGACATTTTGAAGTGCATGTTAGTCACAGACGAATCCACGTTCACGCGTATCGAGGTCAATAACTTCCCCAATACTCATGTGTGGTCAAACATTTTCCGTGAATGTTTGAGATGGCATGGTAAACGGCATGCTCATTGAACCATTTATTCTTCCGAATCGGTTGGATGGGATACAATACCTAGACTATTTAAAGAACGTTCTACCAATCCGGCTAGAAGATGTGCCTTTGAGTGTAAGACAATCAATTTGGTTTCTCCATGAAGGTGCGTGGGTTCTTAAGCGAACCATTTCCGAATAGGTGGATCGGACGTAACGGACCAGTAGCGTGGCCTCCACGATCTCCAGACTTAACACCGTGTGATTTTTTCTTTGAGACGAAAAGAAACGCTTGGTGTACAAAACTGAGATGCACACGGTTGACGAATTACGTCTGATAGTTGAGCAACCTGCTGCATTCATTCGGGGAAGGGACCCCAATCTAAAAGTCTCCACCGAAGCTTAGCTACGTCGAGCTCGCACATGTGTTTTTGAATCCAACGGCGACAACTCCGAATAGTACGTATAAAATACGTTCACCAAGAAAAAGTCACACATACGTCATATTTTCGATCTCTTTTTTATTTTTGTTACATGTGCTCCTCGGATTTTACGACAGAGCCGTACTTGGAATTTCAGTTGAACTGGGCAGTGAGTACTTTTTCATTTATGTTATTACTTGTTCGCTCACGTTTCACCACACATTAGCTTTGTAATATAAAGTATAATTGTGTCTGAAAAGGAAAACCGCAACTTTGCGAACACGCTGTATATAACCTCGCCAAAAACTACTAAATGAATGGTATTATACATTATGTTATGCTTTAATGATATTGGAAGGTTCCCCTACTAGATATATCTAATACACGTGTTTAGTACATTCGGTTTATTCGCTATACATACCTGGCCATAACCAGTCTCCAGCTGGTGTCTTAGCTCTAGTTTCAAGCGTGCCAAACTTGAATGAGAACGAGTTAATTGTGCGTAATCTGGCACTTTTTATTGGATTCAATATGTTGTTAGCAGATCCTGTTCGAGAACAGCCATAATCTGCAGCGTTAGTACATCTATAAAATCAATCAATTAACCAATAAGCAGATGAGTCTAGGAATCGATCAATTGTTCAGGCATTCAATCGATTGTTGCTGCACGAAAACAAGTTCAACAAAATACGCCCGTTGCGCAAGGAATGGAAAAGCAAAAATTTAATTTTGACCCGATTTGTGACAAGGACCTGGGTAAAAAATTAATAATTCAGACCGATAGTTAAGCATTAATGAATGAGATATTTGGAGAAAGAAACTGAGTATTCTGTATTTTTTTAATTTGTAGCCCATAAAATCTTTCGGAGTCAACATCACAACTCTATACTCTATGAACTGCGCAACTTACTGGTTAGCTGGAATGGTGATTGTTCCTTTGTACAAAAAGTCGTTACCCTTTTCATCAGCCAGCAAGGTCGGTTTTATATGCAATACTCCATTCTGTACATACGAGTTGCGTTTGTCAGGGCTATACCATTCAAATTCCCAATTCTATAATAAAAAATCAATTACTATAATTACCACAGTCATGCTTCCTAAATGTAACTAGAAACGCTTCAAATGATTTTCTATTTAACAATTATGCCGCTTCTATGGGGAACCACGGATGCAGATGCTACGAGGGATAACAACGATTAAATATCTAGCAGCATACGTAATCATTATGGGATCAATACTTTTTGGTAGCCATAATTCTAAGCTTGTGATGGTGGCCCTGATGTTCGAAGACAAAATCTTAAAGCCTCTCCACACTAACGCGAGAATACCGCGAGTAAGTCAGAAAAACATGAGAAATGTGAATATGGAACCGATTTTTATAACCTTCGGAGGTTCTCGGCTTGTTCTCCGATTTTTGTCGATTTATTGGCGCGAGACAGAAGAGCTGAAAACGCGAGAACTTGTATTGACCCCACACTCGCATGTTTCTCAGTGGCAGGTGACTCTCCGATTAGAGCAGTTGTGCGTGGTATTTACTACTGAGCATCAATATGAGACGGATTTCCATGAACGAACTAGAATTGGCATTGCTAGAATATTTTCAAGCAGAACCGATTTTGTGGATCACAAATTTGAAAGAATATAAAAATAAACTAAAAGCCCACGATGCGTGGAAACGTATTAGTATCTTGATCATTAGTTATTAGCCAGCTACAGAGGGATAAATATAAAGTCAAGAAATCGGAAAAATCTGGTGCTGGTGTCGACGACATTGATTAGCCAATATGATTCGCATATTACGAACCTCTAAGATAGGTGTAAGTATACAATATGTTTGGTTACGACATGCCGATATTTAAGGGTATCTTTCAGTTATTTTTATCGACAGATCCACCCCCCTACAATGTTCTACCTCACCACCCTTGAAATGGCAGCCGTTTTTATTTTTACGTTATGATTACGCTAGTGCATGTAAAAAATTCTAATAACTGAGTACATAAGTGTCACATAATGATAAATTTGGTGTAATTTGAACGATAACGTGTTGTGCTAGCGATTATTAAAGAACTTATTGTATTGATACTAACCGTCAAAGATAGTCAAAAACAGAAGAAAACTTGGTTAACACTATGCCCCAAAGAATTTCAGCCGTAATAAAAAATAAAGGTGATGTTACCCACATTGTTTATTTGTTCAGATGTTCTATTAGTTATAGGTCTAAGTGATTTCAAATATGTATTTTTTACGACTAGAGTGTATCTAAAATGTTTTTGAGAAAATAAATTGTTTTAGAAGTGAATAGTTTCGTCATTTTTAGTTTATAAATGCATATTTTGGTACAAATCTTGGAGTGGGCCAACTGAAGTGGAAAGGGGTTCGTAGTTTGACTGCTCTATAAACACATCATACTCGATATGCCATTGGGAGAGAAAATAGTTTGAGATACAGACAATATTGAGGTAAATGATGATTGAAAAGTAACAATATATATCATTTTACAAGATCTTCATACCACCTGTAAACATATGACCCAGGTTTTGCATCTTTATCTACTTGATGATCAATAGCTCTTTTTTGTGTATCCATGTATTTTGTCATTCATTCATTCCTAAGATACAGAGAGTTGAAGTTTTTTGAGAACAAGTAAGTCAATGACTTTTTTGTAGTTTTTTTATATTTTTTAGATTGAATAACTAAGAATACAACTTTTTGGTCGTTAGCGTTTTCTTCATGTCTAGCTTCGTCTTCAAGTCAAATAAATAAAAAACGCACTAACTGATTCTAAAAACACAAGACACCAAAAGATGTATTCTTAGTCACTTATTCTAAATAAACATGAATACTACAATAAGAGCAAGTGGCGTACTTTTCTCTTAATAAGATGGCTGTGGTGCCTACTGACACGCCACTGGACCTAGCTTGGTTTAACGATATTTATTTTTTGCAAAAACGCCCTGTATCTCAGAAACGAAGCAATCCCGAACATATGCTGACGAGAATTTTTTTTTCTTTAAGCGAGATAACGAATCCCCCTTTGAAGTTTCGTCAGTTAAGAAACTCCCTGTATACAGGGTGCTTTCAAAGTTGTCATTTATTTTAACTGCAACTACCAAAAGTCACGTATATAAAAGTTGCATAATACAAAAGATAGTAACAGATTAAAATTTAAAAAAAAAAATAATGTTATTACACAGATTTTTTGATATTCTAGCCACTGCCGTTTAAATTCTTAGCGTTTTTTTATTACTACTCTTATCGTTTATCTAAATTTGTGTTATTGTATGGTTTTCAGTACGAGTCTTTGGTTCGATCAGTTGTATCAGTCTTTTAATAGTGAGTAAACTTTCATTTGTCTGATTATTTAGTGCGGAAATAACCCATGCTTACAAAAAAAAAGAACAACTGGACATAATACTAACATACAGAGAGTGACAACAAAATGCAGCCGCAGCATTCAGGTTGTATGCGGAAAGGTTTCCTTTAAGAAATCATCCGGCCTCACGGATCTTTGTAAATTTATTCCGTGACACAGGATATTCAAAAGAACAACGAGGAGATCATGCTGGAAAGAGTGCTCAATCTGAAGTGTGGAAGACATTTTAGAAACGGTCGAAGACTAGAGCCATAGCAGTTCAAGCTGAAGTTTCTCATAGTAAAGGGTGGAAGACAATACGGCAAGAACAGTATCATCCTTATCATTATCAAAGAAAGAAGATGATCATAGAAGAGTTGCTTTTTTCAGTGGCTTTTAGAAGTATTCGACAGAAATGAAAATTTTACGAAATTAATTTTGTGTACAGACGAGGTCACATTCATACGAAATGGAGTGCACCCGTGAAATTTATTTAGATTTTCTTCGACACAATCTGCCACAATTATTAGATGTTCCTCTCAATGTGAGACGGAATATGTGGATCCTACATGATGGGGCTCTACCACATTTTAGACAAGAACTTCATGACATCTAGATCATTGATTCCCAAAGTGGTCTATATCGACCCCTAGGGGTCTATGACAACCTGCAAGGGGTCTACGTCACCGAAAAAAAATTTGGGGTCCATGAAATCAATATGGGGGTCCACGATAGTGGATCTCAACAGATACACTGATAGTTCCTATTTACTTACATCATACTATCTTATAATATCAAAACATATACATGATTTATAAAAGTACCTATGAAGTAAAAAATTTATTATATATATGTTTATAAAATTGTGTAAGTTGTAGGATGTTGGTATTCGCTTTGTGGTCGTAATACATTTTGAACTTGTAAAAACCTGAGAGTCGCAGTCTCAGAGCTCCGCTACCTTGCACTGACTTGTTCAATTCGTCACTCTATAAATACGAATGTGGGACAAATACGTTTATTCGTTTCCTGAATCTTGAAAAGGAAAGTGCTAAGAAAATATTTTAAAAAATATAAACAGATAGTATATCACACAAATTACAGTGAGTCAGTGTTATTTTGTTTGAGAGTGCTGGAGAAAAGTAAGTACATTATTTTTTATCAAATTTTAGTTTTGTACTCGTAGTTAGCAAAGATCGATAAATTACGCCAATCATGACTTTAGTTATTAGTAGTTAAATATTCAATCCTGCAAAATTACACGAGTACTCCTCAATAGTTTCTTTTTGAAAGTTTTAGTAATCGGTAATATAATTACAGTGCAATCTCCGTAATTCGAGCTAATTGTTGCAAGCTGCTGGATTTTCTGTCTTATTTAAATAATTTAATTTTGCCCACAGATGACTGATGCCATGTCCGAATCTAAAAAGAAATGTAGACAGCACAGTGTTGATTATTTGAAATTTGGCTTTATTCCATCATTGCCGAACAAACAATCGCCTATGTGCCTTTTATGCAACAAAATTTTGGGCAATGACGCTATGAAACAATCTAAACTGCAAGATCATCTGAGAAGATGCCACCCTGATAAAACAGAGAAAGATTTGAAATACTTTCAAACACTCAAAGATAAATTTCAGAAGAGACCTACACTGGACAGAATGTTCGCTTCGACGTCACAAAGAAATGATGATGGTTTGCGGGCGTCTTACAATATCTCGTTACTTATAGCATACCGCATACTATCGGAGAGAAGTTAATTTTGCCAGCCGTTGAAGAGGTTTTAAAAACTGTTTTACACAAACATGCATCTGATATCATTAAAAGAATTCCCTTAAACAACAATACTGTTGAAAGACGTATTGATGAAATGAGTTCTGATATTGAAAGCTTCTTATGTAATTATTTGCAAACTACCCATTTCTCTATACAACTGGACGGGTCAACTTTATCTGATAATGCAGCATTATTATTGGCATATGTTCGTTTTATTATGAATCAAGAAATCTACGAAGAACTGCTCTTCGCAAGAACTTTGATAACCGACACTAAAGGTGAATTAATATTTCATGTTTTGAAGGATTACTTCATTGAAAAAGCAATTCCTTTATCAAATATAATATCAGTAGCTACAGATGAAGCACCTGGCATGGTTGGACGTTATCGTGGATTTATAAGGTATTTAAAAATATGTCAGGGGTGTTAGCAATACATTGCGTCATCCATCGACAACATTTAGTTGCTAAAAATTTGAGTGTTAGATTGCATGAATCACTTCATTTAGTCATTGATGCAGTAAACCGAATCCGAAGCAACGCGTTGAATACGCAGTTATTTGCGCAGTTGTGTGAAGAAAATGACGAACACTTTCATCAATTACTCCTTCACACTGAAGTACGCTGGCTGTCGAAAGGCTTATGTTTGACAAGATTTTTTCCACTTTTTGAGACTATTTTAGAATTTCTGGATACTAAAGATAAAATTTTAAAAGAAAATTTAATGAAGAGGACAACAGACATCGCCTATTTAACAGATTTGTTTACAAAATTTAATATGGTTAATTTGTAATTACAAGGCGACAGTTTAAATTTGATTAAAACAGAGTCCATTTTATCAGCGTTTCTTGCCAGGGTTAAACTAATGAAGCAAAATATTGGACGGGGCGAATTTTCTCAGTTCCAAAATTTGTCACAGACAAGCTGCCAGGAAGACGACGTTTCAACTTACGCTCAACATTTAAATGCCCTCTATTCAGATTTTGAATCTATGTTTGAGGATATTTTGACTATGGTAATACCACCGTGGATAATTAGCCTATATGGTGACATAGAAGAAACGAATGTCATAATACAAGAGGAACTGACTGAACTAAGTACAAACGAAGAACTTGAGGTTCAGTTTAAAAATGGATATCATCAATTCTGGCTGCAAAACAACATACCCGTTACTTATCCCGTATTATGGAATATAGCGAGGAAATTTTTAATTTCCTTTCCATCGTCATACCTAGTGGGAAGGGGGTTCAGCGCTGTTACCAATCTCCTAACGAAAAAAAGAAACAGACTGGACATCATTAGCCGAGGAGATTTAAGATTAACCCTTACAAAATTGACGACAAATGTTGATAATTTATTATTAAAGCATCAGGTTCATCCTTCTCACTAAAAATATTGACTTATTGCTGTTATTTTATTTATAGTTTATTTTATGTTTATTGGTGTCTGACCAATAAATGCCCGCATTGGGATTAAGTGCCCGCATTGATTTTTTTAAAGAACCCTTTATAAAAAAATTTTTTTTACAAAAATTATTCTGAAAATTCAAGGATAGGTACACATTAAAATTCGTTAATTTTTTGCCTACTTTTAGATAACTTAAACGTATAAGAAGCGGAATTTAATCAAACTAACAGTGAAATTATTGTAGAACATACGTTTATGTTACAATTAATGAACGAACTCGCTTATTGTACTATTTTAAGTAAAAAACTTTTTTTATTATTTTTCACTTTTTTTCTATTTTATCCCTCTTATTTTTTTTTCAATGCGGGCACTTATTCCCAATGCTGGCACTTGGTCAGACACCTGTTTATTTAATGTTACGTATATTTTACATAACAGATACAAAATTTTATTTTGAGTAGTTTTAATTTAAATTCAATTAATAGATGTATAAATTAACATGTGTTTTTACTTTAAGTTTTTAACACTAAACTTCACTACAGTTAAAAATTTACAGGATATCTATATCAGGTAAGTAGAGGTTCTACCCAACACGGAAAGATATGGCAAGGGGTCTACGACACAAAAAAGTTTGGGGAACTCTGATCTAGATAATGAGTTTCCGAATAGATGGATAGGGCGCAATGGACCCATTTCTTGGCCTCCTCGCTCTCCAGATTTAACGCCTTGCGATTTATTTTATCTGTGGAGCTATTTGAAAGAGTAGGTGTATCACGATGGAGCAGTAAATACTCTGAAAGAATTTCATCAGCGCACTGAAAATGATTGTGGTTTAATTCGTGGACACCAGGATTTTATTTTCGAAGCTTTTGTAGACAGTCGTGGATTTCCTGAGAAAGATTTTGCGTTAATCGAACATATGGGGACAATTTTGAACAGTTTTTTAAAAACGATGTCCATTTTTTTAAATAATTTTTAATAATGTAATCTAACTCTCTTATTATGCAACTTTTATATAGGTGATTTTTGGTATATCAACTTCCGATGACGAGCTCTACAAGCTGTTAGAATAAATGACTCAACTTAGAAAATCTACAAGCTGTTAAAATAAGTGACTCAACTTTGAAAACACCCTATATACCTTACAACGGTTCTATCCTTTTTCCTGTTTGTGGATCCTACTTTCACAGCCAAATATTAAAACGGAGGAAATGTCTGACTATGCGATTTCTAAGTCTTAGACTAAGATTTGGTCTTGTTAAGAGCCATTTCCCTCGTTTCTTCGATTAATGATGCTATCCTATATCAGGATTGTACTGGATATTGACATTAGTTCTTAGATATTTTATGGAGGCTATCTGCTCTGTTCTGTATAGATAGGTGATAATAATCTAGTGAAGTATCTAAAGGTAAGACGATATGAGAAGACAAATGCAACTTTAAATGACATTTGAAAGGTTGGGGTGGGAAAAGCTAGTGGAGAAATCGACCCCCATTTGATAAATTTCCAGATTTTGCCGCCATCTGATGCACAGTAGTTCAGCTTACCTAAAAAATGCAGTCAGTATAGAAACCTGGGTTTCAAAAGCGAAAACATTTTTAACTAAGCGCCAAGCGTAATATTTGTTGTTATTTATTTTTCAACACATGACCAAACGTAATCGAAAGGTTGTTAAAGAAGGCAATAAGATAAATTGGCTCAAGATTAGAGAAATCGAGGCGTTTGAAGACAAGCCTTTCAGTATTTTTTGTTAAAACTGATTTTGAAGCTCCCTCTAAAGGGATTAATATTGAGAAAGACGTGGCAGACTATCGAATGCTTCGATACAAGCATTGCTTAGTAAGCTCCTCGAAAGACTGACCAAATGGGAAACGTATAGCAGAAAAGAAGCTAGACGATTTAAAATCATTACTAAGTCGTATACCCAAGGATTCCAAGAAGCTCTATAGGAATGTAATTGGCGATTCAAGTATTGAGGAAGAAAATGGTTAACCAGATTTCGAGCTTGAGAATGAATAATACAAATTTTCGATTCAGGTACTTGATTCATTTCGAAAATGTGTGGTTACTACTTGCTTCATTTTATTTCTGAATCAGTATATAATTGAGTTTACTACATTTGTAATTTGTAAAATACAAAAATAAAGAATTTTTCTGTAATGCGTTCCTTATTTTGCATAATATGACCAACTAACATTTTTGTATTGAGGTCATTATGTCAAAGGAAAAATGAGTATTCTTCTTGAAAGCAATACCTGACCAAGCGCCATTTCATCAAGTTACAGGTACAAGAGTTTTTCAGAAAATGATTCCATACATAAATTTGAAATATCATTTTCTATTCACAGAACAAAAATCATTTAACACAATCGTAGCATTGATTTTTAACGAATTGTTAAAGTTCATTCATCCTCCTGAAAAACAGAGATTAGTCGCTTGGTCAAGTCATGCAAATTAAGAATGTGCAAACAACGAACGACTTTTTAAAAAAGCGACTTTATTTAACAGAAGACGAATGAGTACTGGTCACCTTGGTTTACATGCATCTCTTACTTATAACCTACGCTAGAACAAAGGAATTGAAAAGTGCAAACCTAAGCAACTCTACATATTAGATCATCATCATAGCAGTGCCGTAATTCCTCCCTCTTCAAGAAGATTGAACCTCCTGGTTCAAAGGAAAAATCTGGTTAAGTTCAATGTCATTTTTGACTGATTGATTTTTTGGTTCTTTTTGCTTCAAAAGAGAGAGCAATTGTTTTTTTAAACAAAGTATAATTACAACAAATGTTAAAATACATAAAATAGTTACAATGCTAAACGTGGACGTTTTGTGTGAAAAATCTAAATTTTTTAATTTATCGTGTAATAAAACATTATTCAATTGTATGTCCGAATAACCCTTTACATCAGTATTTTCAAATAACATATTCTTATCATAGTTCACCATAATGTTAGGTATGTATAAAGGTTTCGAAATATCAGAAATCTTCAAATACTCAGTATGATCAATAAATGTTTTACAGTTTAAGCTGATAATAAAAGAGGAATCAATTTCTTTTCTTTCTTTGGTACAATCTTCATATACTGGAATATTCTTGTTAGTATTCACTAAATAGTTATCATGTTTTAATTGAATTACTTCTGAAAATGAACCTTTTGCCAAGAATGTACAATTTTCAACTTTAAGTAAGTTACAACTGGAATGGATTAGTATAGTACAGTAAAAATATTTATTACTCAATAATTTGCATTCATCACAAAAATGTATAGTTTCATTTTCGATAATATTTTTATGTTTCAATACCAGAATATTATTTTGGTGTATAATGGGGTATATATTGGAATATATAAAGTTACCAGTAACTGTTGGTATGTGAAGAACAAATATGATTTCTTCTTCGAGGACTATAATACTTAATTCACATAATTCGAAAAATTCAAAATTGTGCAGTTTATCAAGTGGGAGAAGTTCATTTTTGTCAAATAGATCACTTAATAACGAATGGATATAATTAATTTCAGTCTTACTCAGCTGTAAGAGATTTATGCCCTGATTTGTGCTCAGGTTAATGGTTAACAGTAAGTGTGATAAATAATTAGAAAATCTTTGAATAATTATTATCTCATTCAAGACATACTGAGAATTAGCGTATTCGCTATGCAATTTGTTGAGGTTATCCAAATTATCTCTCAAATTTTTCTTTATAATTAAAGTGTTATTTTCAAACCTGTCTTGTAATTGTTTTGCTACAGAGACGGTTCGGGAATTTTGTAATGATAAATTATCTTGATTTTCCTTCAGAATTTTCATATTTTCCATTATTTCGTCTAGATCAGATTGATCTAAATTGCCTGAAATATATTTTATGACGGAACCAAGACCATTAAATAATCCACGCTTAACTCGTTTAAATTTTAACATTTCATATTTGTCTAAAAGCAAATTGTATTCATGTTCAAGTTGTGTTATCAACGTATCATCTATTCTTTGC